AAGTAATACGATGTGTAATTAACTAAGATGTGTAATTCACTAAGATGTGTTACTTGCTAAGATACGTAAAGTAATACGATGTGTAATTAACTAAGATGTGTAATTCACTAAGATGTGTTACTTGCTAAGATACGTAAAGTAATACGATGTGTAATTAACTAAGATGTGTTACTTGCTAAGATACGTAAAGTAATACGATGTGTAATTAACTAAGATGTGTAATTCACTAAGATGTGTTACTTGCTAAGATACGTAAAGAAATACGATGTGTAATTAACTAAGATGTGTAATTCACTGAGATGTGTTACTTGCTCAGATACGTAAAGTAATACGATGTGTAATTAACTAAGGTGTGTCATTAACTAAGATGTGTTACTTGCTAAGATACGTAAAGTAATACGATATGTAATTCACTAAGATGTGTTACTTGCTAAGATACGTAAAGTAATACGATGTGTAATTAACTAAGATGTGTAATTCACTAAGATGTGTTACTTGCTAAGATACGTAAAGTAATACGATGTGTAATTAACTAAGATGTGTAATTCACTAAGATGTGTTACTTGCTAAGATACGTAAAGTAATACGATGTGTAATTCACTAAGATGTGTTACTTGCTAAGATACGTAAAGTAATACGATGTGTAATTAACTAAGATGTGTAATTCACTAAGATGTGTTACTTGCTAAGATACGTAAAGTAATACGATGTGTAATTAACTAAGATGTGTAATTCACTAAGATGTGTTACTTGCTAAGATACGTAAAGTAATACGATGTGTAATTAACTAAGATGTGTAATTCACTAAGATGTGTTACTTGCTAAGATACGTAAAGTAATACGATGTGTAATTAACTAAGATGTGTTACTTGCTAAGATACGTAAAGTAATACGATGTGTAATTAACTAAGATGTGTAATTCACTAAGATGTGTTACTTGCTAAGATACGTAAAGTAATACGATGTGTAATTAACTAAGATGTGTAATTCACTAAGATGTGTTACTTGCTAAGATACGTAAAGAAATACGATGTGTAATTAACTAAGATGTGTAATTCACTAAGATGTATTACTTGCTAAGATACGTAAAGTAATACGATGTGTAATTAACTAAGATGTGTAATTAACTAAGATATGTTACTTGCTAAGATACGTAAAGTAATACGATGTGTAATTAACTAAGATGTGTTACTTGCTAAGATACGTAAAGTAATACGATGTGTAATTAACTAAGGTGTGTCATTAACTAAGATGTGTTACTTGCTAAGATACGTAAAGTAATACGATGTGTAATTCACTAAGATGTGTTACTTGCTAAGATACGTAAAGTAATACGATGTGTAATTAACTAAGGTGTGTAATTCACTAAGTTGTGTTACTTGCAAAGATACGTAAAGTAATACGATGTGTAATTAACTAAGATGTGTAATTCACTAAGATGTGTTACTTGCAAAGATACGTAAAGTAATACGATGTGTAATTCACTAAGATGTGTTACTTGCTAAGATACGTAAAGTAATACGATGTGTAATTAACTAAGATGTGTAATTCACTAAGATGTGTTACTTGCTAAGATACGTAAAGTAATACGATGTGTAATTAACTAAGATGTGTAATTCACTAAGATGTGTTACTTGCTAAGATACGTAAAGTAATACGATGTGTAATTAACTAAGATGTGTAATTCACTAAGATGTGTTACTTGCTAAGATACGTAAAGTAATACGATGTGTAATTAACTAAGATGTGTTACTTGCTAAGATACGTAAAGTAATACGATGTGTAATTAACTAAGGTGTGTCATTAACTAAGATGTGTTACTGCTAAGATACGTAAAGTAATACGATGTGTAATTCACTAAGAAGTGTTACTTGCTAAGATACGTAAAGTAATACGATGTGTAATTAACTACGGTGTGTAATTCACTGAGATGTGTTACTTGCTAAGATACGTAAAGTAATACGATGTGTAATTAACTAAGATGTGTAATTCACTAAGATGTGTTACTTGCTAAGATACGTAAAGTAATACGATGTGTAATTAACTAAGATGTGTAATTCACTAAGATGTGTTACTTGCAAAGATACGTAAAGTAATACAATGTGTAATTAACTAAGATGTGTAATTAACTGAGATGTGTTACTTGCTAAGATACGTAAAGTAATACGATGTGTAATTAACTAAGATGTGTTAATTGCTAAAATACGTAAAGTAATACGATCTGTAATTAACTAAGATGTGTAATTCACTAAGATGTGTAATTCACTAAGATGTGTTACTTGATAAGATACGTAAAGTAATACGATGTGTTATTCACTAAGATGTGTTACTTGCTAAGATACGTAAAGTTATACGATGTGTAATTAACTAAGGTGTGTAATTCACTAAGATGTGTTACTTGCTAAGATACGTAAAGTAATACGATGTGTAATTAACTAAGGTGTGTAATTCACTAAGATGTGTTACTTGCTAAGATACGTAAAGTAATACGATGTGTAATTAACTAAGATGTGTAATTCACTGAGATGTGTTACTTGCTAAGATACGTAAAGTAATACGATGTGTAATTAACTAAGATGTGTTACTTGCTAAAATACGTAAAGTAATGCGATGTGTAATTAACTAAGATGTGTAATTCAACTGAGATGTGTAATTAACTAAGATGTGTAATTAACTACGATGTGTAATTAACTAAGATGTGTAATTAACTGAGATGTGTTACTTGCAAAGATACGTAAAGTAATACGATGTGTAATTAACTAAGATGTGTTACTTGCTAAAATACGTAAAGTAATGCGATGTGTAATTAACTAAGATGTGTAATTCACTGAGATGTGTAATTAACTAAGATGCGTAATTCACTGAGATGTGTTACTTGCTAAGATACGTAAAGTGATACGATGTGTAATTAACTAAGATGTGTAATTAACTTAGATGTGTTACTTGCTAAGATACGTAAAGTAATACGATGTGTAATTAACTAAGATGTGTTACTTGCTAAAATACGTAAAGTAATGCGATGTGTAATTAACTAAGATGTGTAATTCACTGAGATGTGTAATTAACTAAGATGTGTAATTAACTAAGATGTGTTACTTGCTAAGATACGTAAAGTAATACGATGTGTAATTAACTAAGATGTGTAATTCACTGAGATGTGTTACTTGCTAAGATACGTAAAGTAATACGATGTGTAATTAACTAAGATGTGTAATTCACTGAGATGTGTTACTTGCTAAGATACGTAAAGTGATACGATGTGTAATTTACTAAGATGTGTAATTAACTAAGATGTTCTATTTGCTAAAATGCGTCAATTGTTAAGATGTGTAATTTGCGCAGATAAACTGAATTGCAAAAGACAGCATACAGTTTTTATTCAATTGAAAATTGAAAGAACTATCAAATTTAATTGTGTCCATCAGTCAATCCTGTAACAGTTTGTAAACACGGGTTGCCCAGTCGTCTCAGGCGCCGCGAGGTGCAGAGTTGCGTCCCTTGGGCACGCCAGAAACATATGCTTTTGGGTTCGAATCCCGGTTCGCCCCGATTATGTTTCTAGGTTTGTCAGCAACATACACGTGCTAATGGGTTTCACCGAAGTGGTAAACGTCTGAGACCTGCATCACTTCAGGCTTTCCTCCAACATTAAGCTGACACGCCGTGATATGACTGGAATACTGTTAAAAACGGTGTTTAAAACCCAACTCAATTGTAATTGCCTGGGTAATTTCGTTGGACAATAAATTGGTTAAATGAAGACCGGGGTAAGAAGCGAATTTGCAACGACATGACCTCTACCATGTTTGAAATGTAAATTTACATGTACATGTACATTTGTACAGAAAACACACATTTATAGGTTTTCAATGATATGTTTTCTACAGATACCATCAGCAGTAGTGTATTGATTGATACACGTTTCAAATCAAATTGTTATTAAAAAAATGTACGACTTGTTCTTTGACTGCTGACAAAGCGACTGTACATTACATTGTTTGGAGATAATGTCATCTCTATACAATTTCAATTGAAAAATCAAACATATGGTAAAACCAACTGAGAGGCATAGTTTCCTTTTCTCTTCAGTTTATGTGAATTGCTGAGATGTGTAGGTCGGTAGGATGTGTGCTATAATGATTGCGATCGTATAAGACAAGTAATCACCAAGCCCCCGAGCGAGCAGTAGCAGTGATATATTCTGTATTTTCTGTGGCTATGACGTGTGATGCTTACACGTGTATACATATATATGAGAGAGTAAGTATGTGGTATTACAGCAACATTCCCTCAACAATAGGGCTAAGGAAACTACGACAGGTGTTCTACAATGTACCTATGTTGGGAATGGAACTACTCAGCTACCCTTCTGTCCCTCAAAGTATTAGAAGAAGTTCAAGTATAGAGGCCAAGTTAGCGGCTATCCATGTTTGAAGGTTTACGGTAGTGTTTACCCAGCACAATCTTCGGCTAACGAACGTGGACTTACATGTCACAGATGCTGGTGAGAAACGTCCTGGCTGGGGGGAAAATGAGGACGCCCATCCTGATGAAAACAGTTGCCCCGGTGCAGTGCCCCGTGGTTCCTGTCCAGTCTTCTCAGATTGACGTTCGTTTGACCATGCGCCTGCTGCAGGCGTGTTTAACCGCCGGAATTGGATTATTACATCTGTTTGTTCCACGCCGCGTGATTCTGTTGGTGTCATTATAATCTCCTTTGTTTCCTTGATAATCGTCTCTCGATACATGACCTATGGCAGTACTGCAACGTTTAGAAAAATGTCTGTTTCCTACTTACACTAGAAATATACATTTACGCAACATTTGAACCCCACAACGCCTACTTCGATTGCTCAGTTTCCTTGATACGATACGAGGAAATGCCACCGATGTAGGGAAGAGCCTGATGCATCAAACGCCGTTCTCCAGGTGCAGTCATGATTGCGGTTTGTCAAGTATTCAATTCCGTGTTCACTTTTTTTACATCAAGCTAAGTATATATACACGGTAAATGTGACGTTAAGTCAGTATTCCCTGACCAGTGGCTGAAGTGGATATCAAAGAGGAACATGATTGCTAAAGTTCTGTTTGCAGGTACGGTACAGTTGAAATTCCTGTTGTTTAGAGTTAGTGGAAAATTTATTACTTAAGATTACTGACAGAGGGATGTTCTTCGTTCATGTGGCCATGCAGCCAAGAGTGCAAGAGCGCCATACAGATGCACTATTTGAATATATGTATTGTACATGAATTATTATTAAGTGATTAAGGTTTTTGTGGATATGAATTTCGCTTAATCGTTTATGAAGGTTGCATGATATGGTTTATCCTATCTACATTACGACCCGTGAAGCTCCAGGTTAGAATAGGTCTTCGGCCCATGCTTGCCTTAAGAGGTGACTATGCTTGTCGTAAGAGGCGACTAACGGGATCGGGTGGTCAGACTCGCTGACTTGGTTGATGTATGTCATCGTATCCCAAATGCGTAGATCGATGCTCATGATATCAATCACTGGATTGTCTAGTCCAGATTTAATTATTTACAGACCCCCGTTATATAACTTTAGTTGGAATAGTGCAGGGTCTTGCGTTGAACAACAAACAAACAAAACCATCTATGTAACTGTAACAACACGAAGTGAAGAATATGTGGGCGTGCGGATAGCCAAGAGGTTAAAGTATTAGTTCGCCGAAGGCCGAGGTTCGATTCCCCACATTGTTACAATGTGTGAAGCCCATTTATGGTGTCCCAAACATGAATGCGCGCTAATTGATTGCAAATGTTTTTGTTCTTTGCCCTTTTCTTTTGCTTAGGGTGTCATAAAAATAAACAAACCTAATTTACAACGTATGATATCTCAATTCAATACGCCCTAGTACTGCGAAATGGGTTAAGTTGAATCTTACCTGTATCTGTATACAAATGTACATATTGTCTGTTAAAACACATTTCATTGTAATTTATATAGCTCTAAAGCTCTAAAATTCGCTGGGTCTCTAGCCATTCTCTTCTTTAAATAACAAGTGTCGCGTTGTCATATATGGTACTGCGACATGGTGTATTCTTAGAGTCATCCGAATGTTCAAAATGTCTCCTTTTTTTATCCAGTTGGCGTAATGGCCTCTTTGGCCTGTGGACAAAACGTCACCAGTAGTCCCTACGCGTGTACAACAGCCAACGGCACCGCCCCTGACATCACCGACAACGACTGCACACGTTACTGGTCATGCCTTGACTTTAACATCACGCTTCTCACATGCCCGGATGGCGAGGCATATAGCTGGTTCAATGGCACATGCGTCAACGAGAGTCGGGTACCGTGCGAGGCTCAGAACGAGGCTTTCAACCAGACGCTGGCCAATTACACACAAGCTGGGCGACAGAAGAGAGCTGCCACGTATGGTCTCCCGCAGTTTCTTGCTCCGTCGTCTGGCAACGCAACCAGCAACAGCTCAAACACATCAGAAGTTCAGATTGGAACGCTAGGTAAGTAGACACACAGTGGTGAAATTAAAGCGGTTCTTTTTAACAAAAAAATTATTTGCAGATAGATAGCCACGATATACACATGTAAACCCTAGATCGGTACATGACCAGGGGATGTTGGAAATTTTTCAATCATTTGAAATAGAATTAGGCGATATTATACATTATTAAAAAGAGGGGGAAAATTATAGTTTATAGGACCTCATTTTAACTTCATTTAATTAAAAATTTGGTTTCAAAATTTAATAACTAACGTCAGTACAATTAACCCTTTTGGGAAAATATCCCTACAGTATTGCCCTTGTCTTTGATCCATGTTGGCCCAATGTCGTTGAATTACTTCCCTTAACTAACCAGGATCCGCTGATCATGGGTTTGAATGCAAGATTTGCCTCGATTATGATCTTTGTTCTTTCTGTGGGTTTCACCAAAACCGTAATAGTGTTGTTGGGTGCATTGTACATCAAGTTTATTCGTCATTATAATCACTTGGAGACGGGGAATTACGGCACCTTAGACTAGGACCCCTTTCCACATAACAACAAATAGTAAGATATAGCCTCAGAGAAGTACCTGCTTCAGTAAAAGCCTCATTTCAAGATACATGAATATGTCTTCTTTTGTTTCACAGAACCAATCACTGTGACCCTTGGCCGGGAAACTTGCAGCCACATCGGTAACAACATCCGCGCCGCTGAGAGGGTGGTGAACAACGCCCTTCATTTGTTTACCCATTGTGTATTTGACCGCTGTAATATTGAGCCGCTCCAGTTCGTGTGTCCCTAGAGACTATAGGAGTAATCAGCAGCATCTGTACCATCATAAAACTGTTATATATAGCTGTAGACTACACGTGTATATACTTAAAAGATGCTGATTTCTGTCGTGACAGATCTGCCTTTTATCTTTTCGCTGCTAGTTCGTGTCTGCTTGTGCTCGGTTTCATGACTTTATATACCTGTCGAGTATGTTAAGATTTGCCATATCTATAGCTGATAACGAGACGCCTCTATGAAATAATGTCTTTCATGCCTTTCAAATGTTCACTGTATTTTTGTAGAAAAGCAAATAAATCCGTCCTAGACTGAAAGAATGTGTTGCTGTTTACATGAGAACGTGGACGAGACTGTTTCTGGATTCAGTTCCTTTGTGGGCGGTGGGGTAGCTCAGTGATTATAGCGTTCGCTCGTCCCGGGTTCCATTCCCTACATGTACAATGTGAGAAGCCCATTTCTGGTGTCGACCGCCGTGATATTCCTGGAATATTATTAAAAGCGGAGTAAAAGCATACTGACTCACTCAGTTCCTTTGTCAGAGAGACTGTAGACCGATGGGTCAGAATTGGTCCCCAGCATCCCAAATGTGGATGAAAATGAGGATTTGCCCACCACACACTGACATTGCTACTTGTGCCCTCCTGACTGATGTGCGAAATGTTGCTGATGCCACTGCTTGTCCCACATTATGTACAGGCAGCCCTGAAATCGCTGCATTGTAGACCGCGGCGTTAAACTTCAGTCACTAACTATGTTGATGAAAACGGCTGGATTTTATTAAAAAAACCATTTGATTGTTGCAATGTGGGTTTTTTAGAAAACTATATTTTGGCTCATTGTCTAAATATATAAAAAATATCTGGTTGCGCAGCTGTCGTTGACAAAATATCGGGTCTCAATACAAAATCCCATCCCTCCTCCCTATTTCCTGATATAATTGCCTCCTGTGTACAGCGGCTTTGTGCTAACGTCCCATCAGATATCATGAGACTTGTAGAAGCACAAAATCGGTGCCATATGTTGACATTTTCGAACAATACACGGTTCCAATGATTTGATTGGATTGGATTGTTGTTGGTTGGTGTGTTGTTTTACGCCGCACTCAGCAATATTCCAGCTATATGACGGCGGTCTGTAAATAATCGAGTCTGGACCAGACAATCCAGTGATTAATATCATGAGCATCGATCCACGCAATTGGGATCGATGGCATGCATCAACCAAGTCAGCGAGCCTGACCACCCGATCCCGTTAGTCGCCTTTTACGACAAGCATGGGTTGCTGAAGACCTATTCTACCCCGGAATACGGTTCCAATGACCACAAGCATGAAATACTCCTATATCCCACCAATATATGTTATGTCCGGTTGTGTGCAGGGCAAGAAATACTGTACGGTTTTCTAGGAAACTAGCACTATCGACATTTTCAGTCTATGTCAAAGTCGTTACTGTGAAAACTCGAAAAAAAATTTTTTTTAAATCCCAAACTATCAACGGCATCAGTTCACCACAAGGGCTATCTATATGCCAAGTTTGGTGAAGAAATAATTTACGGTTTTCAATATCTGCTCGGGAGAGGAGCACTACCGCAATTTTCAGTCTAAGTCAGCTGTTGCCATGGAAACCCCTATAAATATTTATTTTTTTAAAACCTTAACTATCAAAAGGCACCAGTCCACCGCTAGACCTATTTATATGCCACCACGCGAGCGACCGACGGACGGGCTGCACCCATTTCTATATCCCCCTTCCACTTCGTGGCGGGGATAAAAAAAATCTTGGTGCTGAACATTGTGTATATAAACTGGAGGATAAGTAACCGATTAGGATCTATGTGATGTTCAGAACTTTCCCTGGAAGGATACTTGTGTTTTAATTGGGTTGAAGACTGAACCAAAGGTGTTTTTTCATTCAAAGACAAATTGAAACATTCACTTTGTGCCTCTCACAGAAGCAACTTGAAACGGCAGTTAAATGTCGCGTTATTTCATTCCCCATTAGAACTTTTCAGTATATATCTGCAGGAATCAATGTTCTATTGTAGAAACTTGCAATACAGAACTGTCGAGTAGATTTTACAGTTTCTACACTGAGCGTCAAACTTGGAGAATATTTTACTAATGCAATACACATTTCGAGCAATGTCAAAAAGGCCATAATCTTAAATATAGCAAAAACATGTGGAGCCTCACTACCGACTACGTCTACCAAATTTCATTTCATTTTGATGACAAAAACGGTTGAAAAAGTGTCCTAAGTTCAAAGCTTTCCGCATGGTCTGAGTGGGACCAAGTCTAAAATATGGCCCAAAACTGAGCATACACTGATCCCACTATTCTAACTACAAATGTACCAACTTTACTTATAATTTGTACACAAATGTCAAGAAGTTTTTCAACCAAGTCTGCCACATCAAAATCCCTTGAATAAATTTGGGCGTCATCGATGGTACAAGCATGTTAAGTTGTTTTCTTTAAGTCCACTGGTGTCAAAGGAGACGAACGAGTTACAGTAAAAGTCACTTTGACTTTCCGTCAGGTGAGCTAAAAAGAGCAAACAGATCTGAATCCAGAATCGATTTCTAGGGACTAACCATTTGATTTTCTATTTTAAAACCATGAGCCTGAATATTTTAAAACAAACACCTTGCCAGCATGCAATTTCATATTTTTTCAACAGTGTGAAGCATAATTATATGTATCAAAGATATTCAGCAACAATTTCTTTTGGATACAATCCTGTCCTTTTGATGGATTGTGAAAATTGGGTCACCGGCGTCACAATGACAATAGATATCTAAAATATATGTGGTATGACGCTCTGGTGTAGCCAGACAAAACATGTTGAGCTGGTCCCGTAACAAACCAAAACAAGAGAAACTGCACAGATTTAACATTTATTTTAGCTAGTATCTGTACATGTTTTTTTTTCCCTGATGCAACCACACAAACTCCCTGCAATGATGAATAATCACAAAACTGAGTTCCAAACAATTGTGAATAGAGGGGGTGTCATGCCTGCCAGTCATACAACCAACACGCACTGACATTCATCATCATCATCATCATCATCATCAAAGTGTACCCCTCTATCCACAAGGCCCCTGGACTACAAGCTAAAGTGTCTCCTTGGCAACGGGAGCCTATGCTGAACCTGGGGAGTCACTCCCACGCTCAAACACCCTAGACTGATGGTATTGTCCTTCACAAGCAGAATCAAGCCATGCTCCTTCAGAGCCCAGTCTTCCTCCAGTGACAATCTCATTTCTCTGGCCCCGTAGCTACAGAGACGTGTTGTTGCTGTTGCTGTTTTCTGTTGCTGCTGATGCTGTAGAGGTAAGGGAAGTCACTTGTAGAACAGGGGCCAGTGCTGGACCTGTACAAGAATATCTGCACACGCCACAACACCAAGATGCAAAACCTGGAGAATGTCCACGCTTTAACATAATCTTCTTCCTCTTCTCGTCTCTTCCTCTCCCGCTGCCCTGCTCCATTCAAGATGGAGTCAGAAGCTGATATGATAGTCTGGTGGTGTCAGTCTGGAACCCAGTAGTGCGACGTGGAGATGAAGGGTGGTCGATGGGACACTGATGGAAGTCTGTACAGCCATCAGGGCAGGATGAGGGCATCTACTTTGACCTGAAACATTGTTGGTGGATTAGAAAACCAATTCGGAGTTGTTGACACATAGGTATTTCAAGAAAAAAACATGAAAATAAAGGCCTATCTGCAACACCCCCTTGTCAATACTTAATGGGTTCTTGTACACAGTTCATTCTCCTTTTAACATATCACCACTTTACAGCGCAATCCCAAATAATTCAAGCAAGAGGGAAGCAAAGAGTACGATGACCAATAAGCATTCAGATTATATTGATGAACTGGTTTCTTGATTGACATGTGTCACAATGTTACTGCTGTCTATACACACTGCATCAATGGGAATGCTCAGTAAAAACATTTTCATTTCATAGCCTACTACAAATTGACACACACTGCCAACACTGCATAGCAGGTCTCCATGAGTGACGATTCAATGGAATGCACATGACGCCTTGAAGATTGACATGGAGGCCTAGTCTGATCCTGAGATTTCATACCCTGCTTCAAACTTTGTCAGTCAAAATATTAACAGTAAGTCCATACCTTGCCCTCATCTTCCTCCTTTTACGCTTGAGCCTTCGCATACGCTTCTTTCTCCACTGTAAATTGAAAGAAGAAATATAGATAAACCATTGCAAACCAGCCTGATTAACTAGTTAATGCATGTTTGTGGGCATACGACATCTCAGTTTATAGTAAAGATCACAGACAATCATTCCGCTGAATTGCCATCATTGATGTCGGTTGTATTTCAACATGCAAATAGAAGCAACTTCATTTTCATTGAAAGCTTTAATAAGTCATGAACAGTATAATTTTACTTTGGCTTCAGACAATTTTCTACAGTATCAGAATGAACTAAACTGTTCAGCCAAATGCCAACACTATGTTTTGTAACTAGGACAAGGAGCTAGAGTTAGGATTGACAGTATTTCAGTTGTCAAAGCATCCCAGTCTAATGTTGGGGAAAACCAAGTGATGCAGGTATTGCACTTCTCTTGTTAAATCGATAAGAACTTAGTATATGGCATCTCCGACTACTAGCCACACTGGTGACTAATGGGATAAAGAAAGCCTGCAGCAAGTTCTAACCACTAAGATATGTACAAATGCATAAGGACAGGTCACTAGTTATCATGAAATCAATACACAGTTAAACAGTTGAGATGGCAACAGTTATACTTTGATCAGATAGTTATTAAAAAGACAGCATTATCTGAGGAATCAAGTCAAACTTGGTGATCAGTTCGTGAATAAGGATATAAACAACATCTCAGTTGACTGTTTGATATCACAGAAAATCATTCCGCTGAATTACACATCATTGATGTCTGCCTTATGCTTTTCGAGTTTGATTGCAATGGGGTTTCCTCCGATGCTTGGAAATTGCCGGCCTCGAGATATTCTTTATATTTTTACATTACAAGCTGATTGACATAGGGGTTTACCTTAATTGACATTGCATGTTGATCTGATTACCCCTGACAAGAAGAGTCCCAGAGCGAGACTGTTCAGCCATCAATTACTGACCATCAAGACTAGATGGGAGTGCATGGACTGTCCATAACTGTGCATACCTATTTCCCTGTCTGAAAATCAGACTGATATAGGACCCCTAGTAATTGACCTTATTTAACTTCTCTGTGCTGAGTTAGGCAGTAATTGAGCTGTATTTGGGTTTTTTACATCATGAGCATCCCTTTTCAAAATTGTTCTTAAATCAAATTATTCAAATTTAATCCCATTATGATTATTGTTATTGTACTGTTTGGCTGTACCATTTCATAACTATTCGCAGAAGAATGTGTGAATTAAGTTCAATGTTTGCATCAATCAAGATTAAGATGCTTCGAACTAATGTATTTTTTTCAATGACAAACTTTTCAAAGTTTCATAAGCCACAAGACATATGGTTAGCACAAGTGTTCAACAAGACATTAATCAGCAACCAATCTTAGGTTACCGTTGTTTACCAAAATGTTTAAATCCGAGTTGACCAGTTTGAAGATCTCAGCAAATAGGTTTGATTTCAGTGGAAATCATAACGAGGAGATACCATCACAGATCATCAACATGATGTAACCTTTTTAAGGGTAGATTCACATGGGCTGTGGCACATGTAAAGTGCCTCTTGTCTGCCTCTAAAGAACTTGATCCATTTTCCCATACTGTTCACCCACTGCGACACAAGTTAACAATAATTTTGTCCACTGAACATTCAAAACAACTACTGTTGGTTTGCAATCATTTTAAGGTCAAAGTATTTAAAGCGATCAATTAAGTTAAGATGAAAGAGAAGCAAATATCACTGCATAATGAAGTACGTTTAGCATGTTCAAATTTTAGTGTACTTGACATGTAGTTAAAAGCCATTGCGGGGAAATCTACACCAAAGTGTAAAAAGTATTTCAGTTGTCAAAGCATCCCAGTCTAATATTGGGTAAAACCAAGTGATGCAGGTATTGCACTTCACTCTTGTTAAATCGATAAGAACTTAGTATATGGCATCTCCGACTACTAGCCACACTGGTGACTAATGGGATAAAGAAAGCCTGCAGCAAGTTCTAACCACTAAGATATGTACAAATGCATAAGGACAGGTCACTAGTTATCGTGAAATCAATAAACAGTTAAACTAACAGTTGAGATGGCAACAGTTTTACTTTGATCAGATTGTTATTAAAATAACAACATTATCTGAGAAATCCAGTCAAACATGGAGATCAGTTTGTGAATACGGAAAAAAACGACATCTCAGTTGACTGTTTGATATCACAGAAAATCATTCCGCTGAATTACACATCATTGATGTCGTTGCCTTATGCTTTTTTAGTTTGATTGCAATGGGGTTCCCTCCGATGCTTGGAAATCGTCGGCCTCGAGATATTCTTTATATTTTTACATTACACGCTGATTTGACGTAGGGGTATACCTTAATTGACATTGCATGTTGATCTGTTTTCCCCTGACAATAAGAGTCCCAGAGTGAGACTGTTCAGCCATCAATTACTGACCATCAAGACTACATTGGGAGTGTATGGACTGTCCATAACTGTGCATACCTATTTTCCTGTCTGAAAATCAGACTGATATAGGACCCCTAGTAATTGACCTTATTTAACGCTGTGCTGAGTTAGGCAGTAATTGAGTTGTATTTGGGTTTTTTACATCATGAGCATCCCTTTTCAAAATTGTTCTTAAATCAAATTATTCAAATTTAATCCCATTATGATTATGGTTATTGTACTGTTTGGCTGTAACATTCATAACTATTCGCAGAAGTGTGAATTAAGTTCAATGTTTGCATCAATCAAGATTAGGATGCTTCGAACTAATGTATTTTTTCAATGACAAACTTTTCAAAGTTTCATAAGCCTCAAGACATATGGTTAGCACAAGTGTTCAACAAGACAATCAGCAACCAATCTTAGGTTACCGTTGTTTACCAAAATATTTAAATCTGAGTTGACCAGTATGAAGATCTCAGCAAATAGGTTTGATTTCAGTGGAAATCATAACGAGGAGATACCATCACAGATCTTCAACATGATGTAACCTTTTGAAGGGGAGATTCACATGGGCCGTGGCACAAGTAAAGTGCCTCTTGCCTGCCTCTAAAGAACTTGATCCATTTTCCTATTTTCCCATACTGTTCGACCACTGCGACAAGTTTACAATAAGTTTGTCCACTGAACATTCAAAACTACTGTTGGTTTGCAATCATTTTAAGGTCAAAGTATTTAAAGGGATCAATTAAGTTAAGATGAAAGAGAAGCAAATATCACTGCATCATGGAGCACGTTTTGCATGTTCCAATTTTAGTGTACTTGACGTAGTTAAAAACCATTGCGGAGAAAACATCACCAAAGTGTAAAAGGGAATAGAATTATTATATTCCTTTTATATAGCCACTAATAACAATAAATTGTCTCATGTCTGCATGGTCTGAGCATACACGTTTTGACAAGGCTGCGCACATCTCACGAAGATCAGACTTTCATACGCTAAATTTCAGAAAAAGCCAACAAAGTGCACACTGTATAATGAAGTAATTGAAACTCCTGCATAACTACTTAACTGTGTCATGATAGGCCACATGGGTAGATCAACTGCTAAAGTTTCTAACCTCGTGTTGACAAATGTCCACTAAAGAACATGTACAATATTCATCTTAAATGCTTGAAAACAAAATTACCTTGGCTCTCATCGTGGAAGAAAAGTCTGAAAAGACATAAAGAATTAACTTTATTTACATGTCACTACAAAATAATGCAAGATTGATCAGATATTGAACGGATTTTACGATGAGTGCACAAAAAGACATGCTACCTTCTTAGATGCTGCAAAGGAAAGAGGAAGTGACGTAGCGGATTTTCTCCGCGTGAGCGAAATATACTGCATTCTATACAACTAGTATTGCATGAAGTTCATGTCAACTGATTTTAACCGTTTTAAAGTCCCTGAGGGATGAAAACATGAACTGTTAAAAATTAATGTAAATGCATCCATTCTACTTATTTAGTCATGCTCACGTCGAGATGAAACTAAATCGGCACCTTATTTGGTTGGAGAGAACGGCACTCGGCCACAAATGTTACAGGATATATATATAAATAATATATTTATGAGGCGCCGTTTTACTATTTTTTCACATTTTATTATATCCGAAATTCATTTATTCATATCACAAAGTAGATTTTGATTTACAGATACCACACAATTCATATTTGAGATACCAGTTAATATACCGATACATTTTTAGATATCACTATTAAATAAAGTTTGAGATACAAAACATTTATTGATATTTGAATTCGATTTTACGATAGCATAATATACTTTTAAGATATTACAAAAAAACAACATTTTAGATATCAAAGATATGTTTAGTCATATGTAAAAATCGGACATGAGATATTAATGCATAGTTTATGAAATAAAATCGAATTATTTCATTCATTTATTATGACACAAGCTACAACCATCTCTGTCACAAGAGAAATTCATTCATTTTAGTATAAAACAGTTTTCTTTATACAGTTTCAGTAACAAACATTAGAATATTTATTCTCAGCTTACACAGTCCAAACCTTAAAAGGCGACTATGCTTGTCGTAAGAGGCGACTAACGGGATCGGGTGGTCAGGCTCACTGACTTGGCTGATGCAGGTCATCGATCCAATTTGCGTAGATGGATGCTCATGATATTAATCAATGGATTGTCTGGTCCAGATTCGACCGCCGTCATATAGCTTGAATATTCCTGAGTGCGGCGTTAAACAACAAACCAACCAGCCAACCAACTACACAGTCCAAAGGCCTCTCTCGTACGAATACTTTCCTGTGGCTGGTTGTATGTAGGTAGATGTCCCATAAATATATCTTGTATATCATTTCTATGTTTTTCCACAAACAAGCTATCTCTCTCTCTCTCTCTCTCTCTCTCTCTCTCTCTCTCTCTCTCTTTTAAACAAGCCAACAAGGTAAAATAAATGACATACCAAACAAAACAAATATATATTGTTTTGAAATGCACCTACAAACACAACTCCAGTCCCCCCACACGTCTCCACATTACATATTGAATAACGCTATGGTGCTTCCTTCATTCATCCGGGACATGGGTGGCCCAGTAGAACAAGGCCCCGCACAGTCGATGTGCAGAGTTGCGTCTCTTAGACGTGCCAGAAACCTGTGATCGTGGGTTCGAATCTGAGATTATGTTTCTTGGTTTGTCAGCACCATTCACCCACAGGAACTCGTTATTGGTCAGTAAATAAAAATATATACCCCCTCTATGTAAGAAGGGAATAGGGGGTATATATTTTTATTTACCGACCAATAACGAGTTCCCGTGCATTCACACCCTCCCCAACAACGGTCGGTGTTTAAGTATAATCTCAAAAACTAAAACGATCCTTTCACACAACCAGAGATCAGTTATGGTATGGGACAACTTGTGGCAATTTGCTGACCTATAAGTTTTAGTGATTTAGATTTCACGCTTGATGTACAGACATTTGAGTTTTATCCCGGTGTGGAAGGGAAATCCAAAGTAACTCAAATCATCCCCAACACTAACAAACAAAGAATCGTAATCAACCTTTAAATAATAAATCCTGACACGACAACTGTTCCATCCATCGATTTGTAACTCAGGATTGTTTGTATATACAGAGACCATATACCGATATATCGGTAAATGGTCTCTGGTATATATAATAGTATGTGTTTGGAAAATATGATATCCAATTTCCAGCGTTTATTTTTGGAATTTTAAAAAACTTGAAATAATCACTACGTCCATTTAGTTTATTTAAAATAGGCAATGCAGATATTAGGATGGCAATTCTATTCGCCCTCAAATACAAACACGCACGTTTGTATTTACTCCGTACCGACCGGAAGTAAAAGAGTGCTTACCAAATGGCGGACCCGGCAAGTATGGAGGACGCTAAAGTTGATATATCCGAAAAACAGACGTTACTCGCAGTGTTGCAATTTCTCAAGAAACACAATCTAAAGGTATATATTATCTTTCAAATGTTAGGTATTTTTTTGCATGCTCTGTTTACCATTATGTGCCCGTAAGAGCAAGTTACATTCGCTAATATGTAGCCTACTTCCGACAAAACACCAGTCTTTTGAGAACAAGGACACTATGATCAGCTGACATGTCGAGGTTGTGGCGCGCATACAACGGAATAAATGTTGATGTCGGGTATGACAGCTTTCTAAACTGTTATGCTGTCTATCAGACTCATTTATGTGCTATGTGGTCCCATCTTGCGACTGTCATGTCGATAATCCTTATTAATCATAATGATTTTATGTCTATGATCAAGTCGGGACGCCACACTAGATTTCAATGCTGCACTCAGAGTACTGGGCGTTTGTCATGTGTACCGCTACTGTCTTGTATCGTAATGATTTGCTATTGGTTTTGAACACGTCCATACAACTTGTATATCGACAAAACATCTCAAAGTTTTTCACCTAATGTAGTTTGGAATTCATTGACATGAACATGATGAAAGGATCTAACCCACTCGGCCAAAAGCTATGGGAGCCGTGCCCATTTACAATTGTCAGAGGGGTACACAAAGTCTGTGATCTAGACTACCAGTTGTCAGACTTTCACTTTTGTGGAAGCCTCGGTGACTGATGGTTTAGATCACTGACTTTGTGTGCTGGTGATTAGGTGTCTCACTCTGGAGTGTGGGTCTAATCCTGAAAGGGACTCAACCTGAAACGTACTACAATCTGTACTTTACTAAGAAAGTTTAATCCCAAATATAGCATTTGTTACATTTGACCACTGTTTATAGGTTGTTTCAATAATAGAACATTGCCCAATTTCACAAAGTGATTGTAGTTCCACAAATGGGCTCACTCTAATACCCTACATAGATCTGCCACAGTCGTAGAGCTGCTACTGCTATGGTCACTTTGTGAAACAGGTCCAGTACTACATACACCAGTAGTCCTTATGCAAAGATAACTTCATGATATATTATGTTTAATATAACTATTCATTTGTGAGGCATTGATATCCAGTTAACATGGTTAACTAGTGCTTTGTTAACTAGTGTAATCAGTGCTTTGAGTCTGAGTAATGTCATGACAGACAAATTGATCAAATCTCTCCACGTCATAGGCCTACTCAAAAAGATGTGTTTTCAGTTTATTCTTAGAGTTTGCAAGTTCCTGAATTGAGCAAATATTCAAAGGTAGATTATTCCACAGATATGGGTTGGGTATCTAATTTATGTCTTGTTCTAGGAAACAGAGACTTTGCTAAAGAAAGAAGCCAAAGTCAGTGATGAAGAGTACAAGACAGAAGACAGTGGGCCAAGCGCTTCAGAAGTCTCTCATGCTTTAGCAGCTTACAAGAGGTTGGTAGTTTTTTCCATTCATTCATTTCAAATTTGTATGTGCTATACCAATATATGTACAGTTTAGTCTCTCTTAAAACGTGTACATAATACGTGATCAGTTTGATATAGTATTAAGCATGCTGATAGGAACTGTGTTGACAATTCTCGCTATTCCATCAATGATCATACTTCACTTGAAGCAACTGATGACATTGTGTCAGTGTATAGTTTTTAAGTTTGAGTGATTTGCCTTCATGCTGAACTTTTAAGTAACACTATCCATGATCGTGATAGTAACTGTGTTTACAGTTTGTTTTAATGGGATAGAAATAGGTTTTAAACCAACATGCATTATTATCAAAATGTAGAATATAGATGGGAATGTCGGACACTGTCACACAGTCATTGAAGGAAATACTGGTTCAGTCGTGCCCCGCTTATACAGTCTTCAGATATCCGGATTTTCATTTCAAAATGAAATAATTACTATATAAATTTACCCGTATATATACGGAAATTCAGTTTCCGGAACCGGATGGTCATTTTCATACACAAAACACTGAAATGCACACAAAACTGTCTCACTTACCCGGACAATACACTTCCGCTGGTGGTAATCCTTCCGCTGGTTGAATCCTTTGATTCGTGAGAAGTCAATTAACCAAGTGACACTGAGTTACGTTTGAGACGAGCTTGTTTATTGTACATGTAATCCCTTTCGATAAATATGGCGTCTGTGGAGGTCAGAGGTCAAAGTTGTGACTTCAAATTGTGAGTATGGCCTGTCAACCAGCGAAACGTAAGTTACAGCACACGAAAAAAGGGAAATTTGTCTGTTTAAGGAAAAACACCCGTCAGCAAGTTTTGAAACCATCAGTAAGCATTATGGCACTGAATTTGGACATACCATAGGAAAATCGACAATTGGTGACATTTTAAAAGACAAACAGAAGTGGCTAAATCTCCCGGAAAATTCAAATGACTTATCACGAACCCATGTAGCAAAACACCAGAAGATGGAAGATGCATTATATCTTTGGTTGTGTGACATGACAAGTCGTAATGTCCCCGTTAATGAATAAAGATTGAGTGGATGTATCTGTTTGCTCTGTCATCTGTCATGAGTTGCATAATTGAAGGGAAGTAACTCTTCCAGTAAGAAGCTGGTTTCAGTTATATGGAAATTCGTTTATACGGATGAATTGTGAAATGACGCAAGTGTCCGTATAAACGAGGCACGACTGTATAATCATTCCCTTAAAGGCCCAAGTAATTCACCCATGGGAGAATATTGTTAGCCTAGCCCATGCCTACCAAGTGGAGGGGTGACTGCAATAGGAGCCTGGTAGAGATCTGTGCTTTGGCCATGTGGCTGTGTAGGCATGTGCCGTTTGTCATCGAATGGCACTTCTAATGTAAGTTTAGTGGAGTAAAGAAATGATAAAAAAATTGTGCAGGATATTTTCCTAACAATGGTTGAAAAAACATTCAAATAATTGGATATTGTCAATAACTACAAAATATCTACATTACACTCTAACAATAAACTTTGAGTATGTATTTTCTTTTACTATATCAAATCTGCTTTAGAATCCCAGTATTTGAATGTTGAATCTATTTAACTTCTATTACATTCTTTTCATTTCTTCATTTTTATAACTATCTTGCATGCATTCTGTATATTAATGTAGGACATCTGTCTACATTACCCTCCAAGACACGGCTGTGTTTACAGTCCTTGGCTACATCCTTCACCCCTCCCAACTTTTATTGATGGACTCGTCAAACATCAGAAAGTTTGAATTTCTTGAGAAATTTCAAATTACTTTTCAATATATCTATTCATGATTGCTATTTGAAAATTCTACTTATAGGCTGATTTACTCTCTGAAATCCCTGGAATAAATGATGCAGTTTAATCAGTTTTGTTTTGCTTCGCATACTAGCATCTCAAAGGGCATATATAAACATCCTTAGGAGCTCCCTATGGCACACTTGAAAAAAACTACTTGTCTCTCCCTGTGATGATATTTATCCTAGTGATGACGATCCCAGCATCTATGAAGATCTGTACACTCATGTTACATTTGATGATGTAAATTACTTGTTTTAGTGATGACGATCCCAGCATCTATGAAGATCTGTACACTCATGTTACATTTGATGATGTAAATTACTTGTTTCAGTGATGACGATCCCAGCATCTATGAAGATCTGTACACTGATATCAAAGCCTTCATTGATTCTTGTCTTGATGTACACAAGGTAACATTCTGCTGTTAGTTTCGTGGGATTACTGTAAATCTTGAAATGAATGCATCTCCAAATGAATGCGACCACCCAGCCAGCCCCAGTGGAATTACTAGTGTATATAGAGGAAATGGCTTCTGTGCTGTTTACAGAATCCTTACCTTAATCCAACCTAATCCCATCCTTACCTTAATTCAATCAAACAGCTGATAGCACCGCTTGTTAGCGCTGTGTATAGTACTTCCGTAAAAACAATACATAGTGTTTTCCTAACAGATAATTTTTTGTTAATTCTGACTGGCATTAAGGAAGTTAAAGGGACATAACTCTTGACCCCAGCAGTGACAATTCACAGGTTGTCCATTATGTAAGTTCTAGTGTTTCAATGGCATTGTTATATACTTGTTACAAGTGAAGTGAGGCCGTCTTATTGTTTCATAGTCATTTTGAGATATAAATGGGATGTTTAATCAACGCGAGCAAAGACCACTCACTTTTTTCGCACTTAATTCACCTCACAGTATTTGTTTCATTTGGGTCATTATTTGGGGGTCAGTTTTCTTTTAGTGAAATCATGCAGGTTGTTGGAGAGGATTTGGACATTGTCCCAGATGATATTGTGATTAGGACAGTTGCTGATATGGTCCCAGATGACTGATTTACTGTCTGATTTGATGGCTGTCAAGGCTATTTCATCCCATCCGCCTGCTAAGAACTCATTAAGCAATAATCACTTATCCTGTTTAATTGGCTTCCACCTATGTGTTCTCTGTCCATCGTGTTGTGACAGTATTATCCTTCTGTTGTCATTACCTACTCATGTTATCCCACTCATGTATACAATTGTTGTTATTGTTAATCCTCTACTGTTAATAATCAACCTACTATAAATGTTCTGTACAATGTCCCTCATTCAACCTTGCTTGACAACGGTATAAGGATCTGTACTGAAACGTTGCTATTACAGTATTAAAGAAGTTGTTATCCATAAATTGTGTCTACTCTGTCGTCCTTCAACTTCTTACTAATGCCTATCAAACAATTCATTCACAAAGTGTGTAAGAATTATGTATTACCCTCACTCTCTCTTGGGAAATACAAGAATTCTATCACTCGTTTCGTACAATCAGAATGACACACATGCGAGTGTAATAAGCTCTTTCTTTATATGTCCATAATGTCTGCAGTGTTTTTTAGTTGCTGTATGTTTATGTTTTCAGGTGGAGTTGGCAACCATCTTGTATCCAGTATTTGTACACATGTATCTGGAGCTTGTCTACAATGACCATGAACGTTTGGGTAGGCTTGTGGTTATCTCCCCTTAGTTTAACTGGCAAATTGCAGCTGTGTCGGTTGTGGTTCAGTCTCATTAAAATCAGGTCTTAGTTATCGCTAACGCTAAACAAAGAACTGAGGATGTCCAATCTTTCCATTACGGGTCACGCCAGAGTGGTAAAAATCTATGACCTGAGACACAGTCAGCTTCCCTGATACATCAACTAAAACACTGTTATAGGTGCCTTAACACTTGTCGTTAATGATAGCTGACTACTGATGTCCTTGGCCCTATCCCACAAACCGATATTAGCGTGAACAGCTATACTTTAACATCAATTTATAGCAGTTGTAGTGCCACGATCACTTTGTGGAACAGGGCCTAGTACCACTGTTTGAGGGATCAGCTTCTAGTACATGAACAGAAGCATGATCTGTATTTGCCTCTTAACCTTATCTTAATCCACTGTTTAAGATCCAGGTTAGAATAGGTCTTCAGCAGCCCATGCTTGCTGTAAGAGATGACCATGCTGGTTGTAAGAGGCAACTAATGGGATCAGGCAGTCAGACCCCCTGACTTGATTGATTGTATCTCATTTGCGTGGGTCGATGCTTACGATATCAATCACTTTATTGTCTGGTCCAGCCTCAATTATTTACAGACCAACATTGTTGAGATTGGCCTTATACAACAAACAAACAACCTAATTGGAAATATCTTTGTAATTCAGCGAAGAACTTCTTTGGAAAGTTCTCGCTGGACCAGGAGGAGTATTACAAGGAGGACCTGATGAAGCTGTCTACTGTGTACAAGAAGGAGCACATGGCCGGCAACCAGCTGATGGATAACTTCAAGTATGTTGCCGGCCTCCATTTTATGTGTTGTACAGTTTTATTTGTAAACTTGTAAGGGTGTGACCATCATATCCAGGTTAGAACAGGCCCTTGCATTCTACGTTGGTCCTAGGAGGCAGCCTGATAATTCAGGTGTTCAGACTCTTTGACTTTGTTGATGGAGTGTCGTATTGGCCCCGTCGGCAAGGATCGTTGCTCATAATGTCAATCACTGGATTGTCTGGCCCAAACTTAATTATTTCCAGGCCACTGTCATATAGCTTGAATATTGCTGAGTATGGCATTAAACAACAAGTAAAGATAGATAGTGTCTATACCAAATGTATGGCTAAATGGTTACTTGGTTGGTGGTTATATGTGCCTTCAAATATTACCAGGCTTAGAAGTTTAACAAAAATGCAAATTCATTTGTAAATGAGATGTTGCAAATGTGTGACACAGATCCAGCAAGTTCGTCATCCGGATGTCACGTGACTCCTACACACACCTCAAGCGCCACCTACAGGAGAAACAACTCTCTCGGCTTCTCAACATCATCCAGGAACATCTCTTCATAGACGGTCAGCTACCTACCTTCTGTTCTGGCTAAATATTTGACAAAACACCATTAAAGGGGGACTAGGCACAGTGGATGTCAAGCAAGTTTCATTCAAGTCATTCAAACATCACTTTCGTTGTTGTCATGAACATTTTTAATTATGGGATGTAAATCAATCTAGCTGAATCTTATTACAAGGAGAAAATGTCTGAATTCCACACCCGGCTCTAATTACAACATCTTGACCTGGACTTCAGATTGAATCAGAGCATGGGGCATTGTCAATATCAAGTGTCTGACCAAATGGAAATACTGTAAATCATGAAATAAGTGCAAGCATGAAATTTATACAAAATGTGTGAGTGTCCCTTGTTAGCATAAATAAAGTGACACAGTATTATCTGGACATATTGGAGTTTATGATCACATCAAGTTCCCTCAACATGTCGGAAACACTGACTTTCTTAACAAAGCTCCCAGTAATGTTTTTGAGCTCTAGATTTAGTGCTTCTAACCAAATATTTCTTTAATTGTGGTAAGTTTGTGATATATGTTGATCAAGCAGTTTATACATTTATTAATATAAGATGTAGATCCATCTCATTCTACCGTAACCGTGTAGGACGACATCTGTCTTGGTAACCTTATAATTACAAGCATAACAATACACTGCTCGCCCCTGTAGTAAACATGCCCGGTACAGTAACAGCAGTTGAGGTGAATACAATAAACTGCTCAGTTATGTTCAGAGGATTGTGTGAAATCAAGCAGGAGAACTTAAGCTTGTGGAGAAAACAAACAATATTATTCAATCAAACTGTAACACTTTAAACAGGAAGACATGTATTTACAACTGCCAATAAATTTTGAAAATGTTGACAAATTCTGACATGCAGCGCACCAAGCAAGCAAGATGGTTAATGAAAATGTGCTTATTTAGTGCTTTTGCTATACTTTTGTATTTTTTCTGATTGAAGAATTATTGTCTATAGATCCCTGAACATGCTGATTGTTAATCTCACTGTCATGGTTATTACTTAACACTTCACATATTCAATGATGAAGGTTCTTCAATTATTTTGTTATTTATTGAAATTGTGATAGCTAAAGCTCTACCATTTATCTTAAGTAATTTAGTCATTTCCCTCAAAGTGATGATTTTGAGTTTTTAGGGGATTTATGACAGAAGTATTTCATCTGCAGAAGTGATGTTCTCAAGGTTAAGAAATCGGAATAAGCTTGAAGAAGGGAGACAACTCATGCTGGCTAAAGTTGACTGTTGATCTCTTCATGACAAAAAATATGTAGAACTTGTGTGGAGGTGCTCACGATCAGCCAGAGTGATGTTATTGTTGTCGACAGTGTATGATTTACTGCCTTGTTTCAGTGTTTGATGGGATCCCCCGCAACAAGCAGCAGATTGATGCGTCCAGTGGGGGTCTGCTGGGGGAGTCGGACCGGGAAGGTTGGTCATTCTCACTGTACTGATACTCACAAATGGGATGAATCCAACATGTATTCAGTAACAGTAACCCCAGGGGATTCCAGGAGCAGATGGGTGCTCATGCAGTCGACCACCATGTTCATAATTACATTGAAACCTTTTTAAACTTGAACCCTGTTAACTTGATGTTCAAGACAATGCAACCTTTGTAACAAATTTTATCTTGTATGTATAACTCACTGTGTTTTGATGGCCCAAATGATTTCTAGTTTTCTCTGCACTGTATAGGGGCGGTCGGGTAGCCTAGTGGTTAAAGCGTTCGCTCGTCACGCCGAAAACCCGGGTTCGATTCCCGATATGGGTACAATGTGTGAAGCCCATTTCTGGTGTCCCCCGCCGTGATATTGCTGGAATATTGCTAAAAGCGTATCATGTATCACTGTATCATGATGTGAACACTGTATCAAGACGTTGACACTGCTAAAAGCGGCGTAAAACCATACTCACTCACTCACTCTCCACTGTATCTTGATGTTATCACTGTGTCTTGATGTTAACACTGTATCATGACGTTGACACTGTATCATGATGTCAGCACTGTATCTTGATGTTAACACTGTATCAAGACGTTGACACTGTATCATGATGTCAGCACTGTATCTTGATGTTAACACTGTATCAAGACGTTGACAATGTATCTTGATGTTAACACTGTATCAAGACATTGAGACAGTATCATGATGTCAGCACTGTATCTTGATGGTAACACTGTGTCTTGATGTTAACACTGTATCATGACGTTGACACTGTATCATGATGTCAGCACTGTATCTTGATGTTAACACTGTATCAAGACGTTGACACTGTATCATGATGTCAGCACTGTATCTTGATGTTAACACTGTATGTTGATGGTAACACTGTATCAAGACGTTGACACTGTATCATGATGTCAGCACTGTATCTTGATGTTAACACTGTATCGTGATGTCAGCACTGTATCCAGATGTCAGCACTGTATCTTGATGTTAATACTGTACCAAGATGTTGACACTGTGTCATGATGTCAGCACTGTATCTTGATGTTAGCACTGTATCTTGATGTTAATACTGTACCAAGATGTTGACACTGTGTCATGATGTCAGCACTGTATCTTGATGTTAATACTGTACCAAGATGTTGACACTGTGTCATGATGTCAGCACTGTATCTTGATGTCAGGACTGTATCTTGATGTCAGCACTGTATCTTGATGTTAACACTGTATCAAGACGTTGACACTGTATCATGATGTCAGCACTGTATCTTGATGTTAACACTGTATGTTGATGGTAACACTGTATCAAGACGTTGACACTGTATCATGATGTCAGCACTGTATCCAGATGTCAGCACTGTATCTTGATGTTAATACTGTACCAAGATGTTGACACTGTGTCATGATATCAGCACTGTATCTTGATGTCAGCACTGTATCTTGATGTCAGCACTGTATCTTGATGTTAATACTGTACCAAGATGTTGACACTGTGTCATGATATCAGCACTGTATCTTGATGTCAGCACTGTATCTTGATGTTAATACTGTACCAAGATGTTGACACTGTGTCATGATATCAGCACTGTATCTTGATGTCAGCACTGTATCTTGATGTTAATACTGTACCAAGATGTTGACACTGTGTCATGATATCAGCACTGTATCTTGATGTCAGCACTGTATCTTGATGTTAATACTGTACCAAGATGTTGACACTGTATCATGATGTCAGCACTGTTCCTTGATGTTAATACTGTACCAAGATGTTGACACTGTATCATGATGTCAGCACTGTATCTTGATGTCAGCACTGTATCTTGATGTTAATACTGTACCAAGATGTTGACACTGTATCTTGATGTCAGCACTGTATCTTGATGTTAATACTGTACCAAGATGTCGACACTGTGTCATTACTCCCCTCTGATGCTCCAGCCAACAAGGTCAAGGTGTACTATGGGTTGCTGAAGGAGCCAGATCTCAACATCCCCCTGGAAGAGGACGAGGACACCACAGAGGGGGAGGGGGACAAGCCAAAGGTAGGATGCATACATTCTTTGTTTTGTATAACTCTTATAATCATTATAAGGCTGCATCCGATTGGTTGTCTTGTAACTTTTAGGGCATGTGGGAAACACAGCACATTGATCTATTAAACCCTGTACTCTTAGTGCAGCAATTGCATCATGCCAGTAAAGAATTCCTGTACCTCGGGCTTGTATTCAAGATTTACCCTCATTACGATCAACTGTATATATGTCAGCGCTTTACCAGCGTGTTACAGTTTTATTCTGAAATTCATGTAAGATGTGAAACTTAAAGGGATTATTCATTTTTTCAGAAAAAGAAACCAAAAAAAGACCCTCTGTTGATGAAGAAGTCCAAAAATGATCCCAATGCTCCATCCAACACAAGAATACCACTGCCCGAACTGTAAGTTTAATGTTACGTAAACCTTCATTTTTGCCTACTTCCTTTTAGTTATTTTCAGTTCCGTGATAAAAGAGTATAAACCTTTTGATCATGTTGATACATTTGAATCATATATTTTTTATATATACAGAGAGTTATGAGCTGTTTGTCAGGATATGTATGAATCTGGTGTTGTTGGTGATAAGAAAAAAATAAGAAAAAGATGTGACTTTGTGTTTCTCTCTTTCAGAAAAGACATGGATAAGATCGAGAAAATCAATGCATTCCGAGAAGCCATGAAGAGAGTGAAAGTAGATCGAGACCATATGCCGTCAGTGTGTTTCTATACACTGCTCAACTCCTGTCAGGGGTAAGTGACCTCCTAGCCCAGTAGTACAGCCGGACACAGTAGGAAGTAGATCTAGGCAATGTTGGTATAACATGTGATGTAATGATATAGAGAAACTCACCCAAGTGTCTTTTTACATTAAATATATCAACGTGAGTCAATAAAAGAGGTTTGCTGAGGAGTTTAAGACTTTTACCAATGACTGTTGATATATTGCACATAAAAAAAGAGACACCTGTGTGAGATTATGTTTATCATCCAAAATCATTCCTTTTCAATCAACTTTTTCAGTTTGTAAACTGTAAGAATCAGTGTCTTGGTTGTAAAAACTACAGCTAACCAGCTTCAGTGGCAGAAAGATGAGTAATGTAATTTGATAATGACGTCATGGTAACCGAGGTATCACTTGATATTACTCAAGCTGTATTTCCTGTTGAAGCCAGTTTGGAATGGTAATGATAAGTACCATGCATCCGGAAGACTGGGGGGATTCAGGGTTTTGAAGATTTGAAGGTTTTTACAAGGGGGTCGCCTTACAGGTGGGGTGCTCTATAGACGACGATATACAGTACCTTGTGTTTGCGTAAGAGTCAAGTAACATAAGGTTCTAGTGGTGATGTTCTGTGACCTGTTTGGTTGTAAAGTGTGATTGCTTGTTTCCATGCTTCTACTTCCAGTAATTGGTTGGCCTTGCCCAGTTGTGAAATGTCTGACTATGGTGTTAGCAGCATTCACAAACACACACCTGGACAACAGTAGCCCAACAAGCGCACCCTTTGCAATGTTCGAAATAAGAAGGAAAGTCAATGTGTCATTGAAATAGGCCTAAGGCTTAGACTAAAAAAGTAATTTAATGGGTTCCTAGATTCAAATATAGCCGGGTGGTCCAGAACCCTAGCGTCCCCCTTGAATTTTCTCCTGTTGGGATTCTAGGTTAGAATGGTGTGTTATACAATGTGACTTGATGGATCGGGTGGTCAGGCTGGCTTACTTTGTTGATTGCATATACTCGCTCCCCGACTACGTGGTTATTTACAGCCTACAGACATGAAGTCTGAATATGTTGTGTGTGATGTAAAACAACAGACAAGACTTATCTTTGTGTACACCCAGGGTGTAATGACATCAACTACTGCATGTGCATATTCCCCATTGCCTTGTGAGTTGTCAGTTCAACCATGTCCCAGTTTGTAATGATAACATCAGTAAATATAAGGTGTAGGGCTAACACCCAAGAGTAATCTCTATTAGCAGTGACTAGTTTCGAGCTGGATCACTCTCATCAGACTCTTGTGTAAACAAGACGGCACTTCTGCATTAGACTCAAAGAACACTTTGCCGACATCAACTACCAAAGAGACAAATCTGTCGCTAATCATTTCAACTCATTAGGACACTCCACTACAATATCAAATAGAGACCTACAATATCAAAAAGAGACCTACAATATCAAATAGAGACCTACAATATCAAATAGAGACCAACAATATCAAATAGAGACCAACAATATCAAATAGTGACCAACAATATCAAATAGAGACCTACAATATCAAATAGAGACCTACAATATCAAATAGAGACCAACAATATCAAATAGAGACCTACAATATCAAATAGGGACCTACAATATCAAATAGAGGCCTACAATATCAAATAGAGACCAACAATATCAAATAGAGACCTACAATATCAAATAGGGACCTACAATATCAAATAGAGGCCTACAATATCAAATAGAGACCTACAATATCAAATACAGACCTACAATATCAAATAGAGACCAACAATATCAAATAGAGACCAACAATATCAAATAGAAACCAACAATATCAAATAGAGACCTACAATATCAAATAGAGGCCTACAATATCAATTCCTACAACAGCTGAAAACGGACCCTGAGTCAGATCTGAGCCAGCTAGATGCTGATCCACCGAACTAAAATGGTTCTTTGATCTCAAAACTATCCACCCACTCTTTCACTGTGCATGCTTTTAGTAAGTTAAACTTGTTCGACTGCTTGTTTGGACAGTGTGAGCTTTGTGTTTTTAGCCAACAGGCGGAAGACACAAAATAAGGTACAGTCCTTAATTATAAATATCAGAAAACATGCCTACATCTCAAGAGTTTGGGGCGATACAATTATTACAAACTTCTCTGGTGTTTGTACTCTTTTAGTTTGGCAAGAGTGATTCTACTCTTACAAACAAAATATTGCACAGTTTGATTTGGTATAATGCTGAGGACAAATTAATACTACTGTAAATTGTTTACTGTTCAGTGTTGTCCAATCACAGCTTTCAACCACTGTTTGTCTAATCATTTAGGCAGACAGGGTCCCAGTCAGTGTGTCAGTATACTCTGTGTGTATGCTTGTCATCCCTGTGTTGTGCAGTGTGACGTGTATTGAGGTGTCAGAAGACTCCAGTCTCATCAGTGTGGGCTTCAATGATTCCTTCATCCGAGTTTGGTCCATCACGCCTGACAAACTCCGCTCTCTGAAGACTCCCACGGAACTCGAGATCATAGACAAGGAGGCTGGTAAGTGGGGAATGGAATTATAATAATTTATTTAAAACTGTTTGATTTAGCCCTTATTTGTTTGTATGTAGCTCATTTCTTTGTAGAGGATCTAGAAACAGGCTTTCATCCCTCACTCCATATGTCTATCATGTTCTTTCCAGAGCTTGAACTGGTGCCTTTTGTTAATCAGGATGGTTTGTAATTATTTTTTTTGTGTTTCCAAGGAAACAAATTGGACTTGGGTTCAAACAAGGGCTGAGTTTGTTACCATGCTCTAACTCTTAAACCGTTCTATATGTATTGATTCAGTGGATTGTCTTCTCCAGACTCAATTACTTCAGGCTGCCATACCGGTAATATAGCTGAAACATTGCTTAGTGCTTTGTTAATTAACATACAAACATATTTAAAAGAGGTGTGGATGTCAATGACTTTATCATCTTGCTTTTACATTGGTTTGGAATGGTTTAAATGAAGGTCATTGTCATATTTATAATTTAGAAAAATTACATTTGGAATTCTATTTTCATCTATTGAGGATGATAATTTTTATTTAATTGACTTGATAATTAAGTTTGAGGTTGAGTTTGTTTTGTCAAATGCATAAAGGTTAATTTGTTCTTGAAATTTTGAGCTTTATCATTCAATTTTTGAGTAGCCTATCTTTCATCTATAATTAGCAGCATCTTTTATACATGCTGGGTAGGTTTCTGAATGTACCGTTTAGTTGTGTATGTGACCATGCTGTGTGTTTGTACAGATGATGTGCTGGAACGTATGATGGACGAGCGGTCAGCGACAGAGATCAAGACCCTATGTGGTCACAATGGCCCTGTCTACTCCATCAGCTTCAGCCCAGACAAACACAACCTTGTCTCCGCCTCTGCTGATGGAACCAGTGAGTACCCCCAACCCCTTCCCTGCCAGCTCTTGCAGCTGATTGTAGCAGGAAGTAACACAAGTACAGACACACCCACACCCACACCCACACCCACACCCACACCCACACCCACACCCACACCCACACCCACACACAACCTTGTCTCCGCCTCTGCTGATGGAACCAGTGAGTACCCCCAACCCCCTCCCTGCCAGCTCTTGCAGCTGATTGTAGCAGGAAGTAACACAAGTACAGACACACCCACACCCACACCCACACCCACACCCACACCCACACCCACACACAACCTTGTCTCCGCCTCTGCTGATAAACCAGTGAGTACCCCCAACCCCCTCCCTGCCAGCTCTTGCAGCTGATTGTAGCAGGAAGTAACACAAGTACAGACACACCCACACCCACACCCACACCCACACCCACACACAACCTTGTCTCCGCCTCTGCTGATGGAACCAGTGAGTACCCCCAACCCCCTCCCTGCCAGCTCTTGCAGCTGATTGTAGCAGGAAGTAACACAAGTACAGACACACCCACACCCACACACAACCTTGTCTCCGCCTCTGCTGATGGAACCAGTGAGTACCCCAAACCCCTTCCCTGCCAGCCCTTGCAGCTGATTGTAGCAGGAAGTAACACAAGTACAGACACACCCACACACAGCTTGTCTCCACCTCTGCTGATGGAACCAGTGAGTACCCCAAACCCCTTCCCTGCCAGCCCTTGCAGCTGATTGTAGCAGGAAGTAACACAAGTACAGACACACCCACACACAGCTTGTCTCCGCCTCTGCTGATGGAACCAGTGTGCACCCCAACCGCTTTCTCTGCCAGCCCTTGCAGATGATTGTAGCAGGAAGTGACACAAACACAGACACACCCACACACACCCACACACCCACCCACCCACACACAGCTTGTCTACTTCCAAGTTTATTGTATAGATTCAGTTTGTTTCTATGGTTCTAAGTTTGCTGAAATACTACTTATTACACCCTTACTTTACTTGGATTCATTTTATGTAGATGCCCTGTACTTACTGCATCCTCAATATCTCTGTGAAGATCTGGTATAGAATTTGTCTTCATCAACCCATGCTTGTCTCTTTCCGTGAAGATCTGGGTTAGAGATTGGTCTTCACCAACCCATGCTGGTCTCTTTCCGTGAAGATCTGGTATAGAATTTGTCTTCATCAACCCATGCTTGTCTCTTTCCGTGAAGATCTGGTATAGAATTTGTCTTCATCAACCCATGCTTGTCTCTTTCCGTGAAGATCTGGGTTAGAGATTGGTCTTCACCAACCCATGCTGGTCTCTTTCCGTGAAGATCTGGTATAGAATTTGTCTTCATCAACCCATGCTTGTCTCTTTCCGTGAAGATCTGGTATAGAATTTGTCTTCATCAACCCATGCTTGTCTCTTTCCGTGAAGATCTGGGTTAGAGATTGGTCTTCACCAACCCATGCTGGTCTCTTTCCGTGAAGATCCTGGTTAGAGATTGGTCTTCACCAACTCATACTTGTCTCTTTCCGTGAAGATCCGGGTTAGAATTGGTCTTCACCAACCCATGCTTGTCTCTTTCCGTGAAGATCCTGGTTAGAGATTGGTCTTCACCAACCCATGCTGGTCTCTTTCCGTGAAGATCCTGGTTAGAGATTGGTCTTCACCAACCCATGCTGGTCTCTTTCCGTGAAGATCCGGGTTAGAGATTGGTCTTCACCAACCCATGCTGGTCTCTTTCCGTGAAGATCCTGGTTAGAGATTGGTCTTCACCAACCCATGCTGGTCTCTTTCCGTGAAGATCCTGGTTAGAGATTGGTCTTCACCAACCCATGCTGGTCTCTTTCCGTGAAGATCCGGGTTAGAGATTGGTCTTCACCAACCCATGCTGGTCTCTTTCCGTGAAGATCCTGGTTAGAGATTGGTCTTCACCAACCCATGCTGGTCTCTTTCCGTGAAGATCCTGGTTAGAGATTGGTCTTCACCAACCCATGCTGGTCTCTTTCCGTGAAGATCCGGGTTAGAGATTGGTCTTCACCAACCCATGTTTGTTGTAAGTGGCGACCTACAAGATCGGGTGGTCAGGCTCGCTGACATCGTTGATGCATGACATCATATTCAAATTGCGTGGATCAATGCTCATGATGTCTATCACTTGATTGTCTGGTCCATACTTGATTGTTTGCAGATTGACAGCCTTTGGCTGGAATATCGCTGGGTGTGGCGTTGGAACAACAAACAAACAAACAAACAAAACATCTTTCTGTACTTGAATTCATTTTATGTAATTGGATAGCTACAACAAAGTAGAATTTGTCATCTTTTGCAATAAATACATTATATATTTACATTATACATTATATGCATGTTGTTGCACTACCATTTTCAGTTCGCCTGTGGAGTTTGCAGACATGGACCAACCTGGTGTGTTACAAGGGCCACAACTACCCTGTGTGGGATGTGAAGTTCAGGTAGGCAATCTGCTCACATTCACCTGTAATGGTATTTAACCTCTAGCACAATGCCAAAGTAAATTGTCAAATCTGCTGATGAAATCTTAACTTCACAAGAAATATTTTCCACAGAAATATGTTGGCAATAATTTTGAAATAACAAGAGTCAACATGACTATGCCTTATGAACTTATAACAGTGTATAATTTGTATAGTTTGTCGTTTAGCACTGCACAGCAGAATGATGTCAGACCGTAAATAATCCACAACTGTGAACAGTGATCAACAACTGACCACCCAATCCATGAAATGCCTCTTTTGATCAACATAGGTTGCTAGGAACCAATTCTAACCCAGAAAGTTTTCAAAAATTGTCGCCTATTGTTGTGACACATTCTAAGTTAATAATGCACAGTTATGTTGACTGGGGATTTGTTTTAGGTAAAACAATATGCATTGTAAAGAATACCTGGGACATTTATGAAGATCATTCAAGTACACAGTCAGAAACCAACCCCACCCAATGGGGACCAGGGGTAGAATGTGGATTACAGGGTCATAATCAGTCCCCAGCACCCTATGCTGGTCGTAAGAGGCGACTTTATGATTCGGGTGGTCAGACTTGGTGAATTGGTGAAGTGTGTGCAAACTACCCCAATGGTGTGGATCATTGCTCATGATATCAATGACTGGATGTTTCTGGATTAAAACAGGCTGTTGTCAAGTTGCTGGAAGAATGCTTAGTGCAGAGCTGAACACACACATACATGAGAACACATATGGTCCAGTTGCTGGAATATTGATCTTTATTTATGCTTCCTGTTTTGTGTTTTGTCTGACAGTGTTGGTGTTTTGTTTTCCAGTCCCCATGGCCACTACTTCGTGTCCTGTGGACATGACCGGACAGCCAGGCTCTGGTCAACTGACCACTACCAGCCTCTCAGGGTATTCGCAGGCCACCTCTCTGATGTGGATGTAAGATCAGCTTGCTTGCTTGTATACACTAGATATGAGTGTCTATACAGGCATTAATGCACCAAGACGTGGGGTCATAGAGATCCTGCAGATAACAACCTAAAATGGCATTTGACCTATTGCACACATCTCATATGGTGAATAAAATGTTATTTATCCAGTCAAGTAAATCTATATTTCAAGTTTTCATTGGTTCAAAACTCTTACAATTACGCTACATTTTGTAGAATAGTCCAATAGTTACCTTGGTGCATCACTGTCAGTGTTTGAAATGAAAGTTAAGCATGTAAAGGGGTCCTTTTCTTTACCCTAATGTTAACAGTTAAGATTTCGGGGTCCTAGATTCAAATACCATGAGAGACCACAAGGACCCCAGGACTCTGACTCTGAGAGACCCGTGAAGGTCCAGGGTAGAATAGGTCTTCACCCAAACCCATGCTTGCTGTAATAGGGGACTATGCTTGTCGTAAGAGGCGACTAACGGGATCGGTAGGTCAGGCTCGCTGACTTAGTTGATGCATGTCATATCCCAATTGCGTGGATCAATGCTCATGATGTCAATCACTGGATTGTCTGGTCCAGACTCGATTATTTTCAAACCAATCTGACTCGGAAAAGAGCCATTGTGTTTGTTACAGTAACTGGAGAAAAAAAAGGTTCCCAATACCCAGTAGTTGTGTAAAGGGTGTTTAAGATCAGTTTTGAGTGATCAACATGGTGGCTCTCATGTTTCCTGTCTGATTCTGTGTCACTGTGCTCTGTTGCTCTCACTATCATCCACTTGTTGGTGTGGCCAGTGTGGTACAGGCCACATGATGTCCCTGTATTATCGCCAACAACATTCTCTCACTTCCATGCTGACTATTACAGAGTGTCCAGTTTCACCCAAACTCCAACTACGTTGCCACGGGCAGCAGTGACAAGATGGTGCGGCTCTGGGACGTCCAGAGTGGAAACTGTGTCAGAGTCATGTCAGGCCACAAGGTAAGCACAATCTGTCTCTCTGTCTCAGTCTAATATATAACTGTTGTCTTGATAAACCGTCACAGAAAATAGTTTTGATACTCTTGTGGACAACAGCTCTTGGATTTAGTGTGCAGTACCTTTTACCAGTATTAGTTTGTAATAAGTGCCTTGGTACCGTTTATTAATTCATTGCACTCATATGAAAGTTTTGTGTACAAGATCCCGGTCTGTTTTCTCGTTCCAGGGAGCAGTGCATTGCCTGTGTTTCTCCCCTGATGGTCGCACTTTGGCTTCATCAGGTAAGCAAATAGAACATTACAGCAAAAATTCTTCTCGATTAATTTCTGCATTCTCGAACTATGCGAATGGCAGTCGGAGGAAACATGTCTCCAATACAGTGTTTGAGATTGCTGCCCACCATCTTCTTTTCCACCTTATGTCACTTTATTATTGAAGCTGTGTGTGCTCATCTACATTTTTGCATTGATTCCAAATCTGTCCTTGCTTCATTGTGAGGCTTGAAATATCATGCATCTGACGCTTCCTTCATTTTAAACATCATTGTGAAGCAACCATGCCCAACTTTACAATCCCTACAACGGACAAGGGATCATGTGTTTGGTCACATTGAGAGTACAACTTTGAAATATTGGTATTAATGTTATGAGACATGTTCAATGTGTTCAAATGCCTGACAGATGTACATGGCTGTAACCATGGTAATGAGTGAAGAAGGCAGTTGTGTCCATCAAGATGAAATCTAGCTATAAGGAAATCTGTGATCCAAGCTGAGTTGTTCACCATGTGTTTGTTGATTCCCAAGTTGACATGCTAAGGTTAACCCAGAAATCAGTACGAACAGAACTATATTGTGAAATCAGTAAACAACCTCACGTGATCAATGGATAATTAAGACATTTTTATTTAAACACACTAGATCAGGTCAAACATGTGCCAGCAGCAATGTGTAACAGGCTCTGTTACAAAAGTCAGTACACACACGAATGTCCAGAGTTTGTCACGGTCGAATGTCTTGAATGAGACATGTGCTCTGTTCTTGAATCCAGTAAACGTCTGAAAACCGTCAAAATGATTTGTTACAGTTTTGTTCATTTCTTAAATTATGAATATTGTGTGTGGCAAAAATCGCCCTTGTCATACCTTGTCCCAACTGTACACCTCCTTTGTAGATGAGAGTAGTTATTTCTTTACCATGAAGGATTCTGGATGGGAACAGAGACTAAGCACCATCTAGACCTGCTCAGAGGCCGATGTCTGCAGCAATGTCTGCAGCAAATATTATTTAGAATTCCCAAATTGTAATGACAAAAATCCTGTTATTGTAGTGATATCACTAATAATTGGTATTATGGTTTAACAGGGGAGACTTGTATTTCACTGATAACTTTTGTTTTTTGATTTATGCCACACTGAGCAATATTCTACCTTTATGGCAGTAATTGAGTCTGGACCTTACGATGTAGTGATTATCCTTCTAAGCACTTGGGATGCACTGACATGAGGCAACCAAGTCAGCAAGCTTGACCACCCGATCCCATTAGTCTCCTCTTACAAGCATGGATTGCAAAAGACCAATTCTTACCTGGATCTTCATAAGGCCACTGATAACTGGGCTAATAAATATGATGAAGAGGAATTACAGACTATTGAATCGAATGCAATGTTAAAATACCTCTGAATTTAAGAATATATTATAAAATATCCAGTTCATAAACAACATAGCGTCGACTGATTTTGGTCGACTGCAGGATTTGCAGAGCATGTGAGCCGTCAACTGGGCATCGACAGATATTTTTCAAATATTTTCATGTCTTTAATAAAGGTGCTTAAGTTGATGCACTTCATGAGATAAGACCCATTGTAGAATGATAACAGTCTTGAATATCGATCAGATCGTCTTGACAGGGTGCCGCCATCCTGTTTGAACCTGATTGGCCATTAGGAAGAACATAGAAGGGACATAACTCATCCTAATAACCCTAGTTCGGTAAGGGTGGAAACTGGACTTTTACAGTCAGTTAACGACCTTGCCTCGGGAAGATGGATCAATCCCTGACCTTTGTGTGTTGTAGGTGTGGACCAGGTGGTGACACTGTGGGAGCTGGCTAGTGGCACGATGCTGGCACAGATGAAGGGGCACACAGACAGTGTGTATTGCCTCTGCTTCAGCAGGGACGGGGGCATCCTCTCATCAGGTGAGTTGTGGAGAAAATATGCTGTATCAGGAACTTCCTGTCTGTGCTTTTTGTGTGCACTGGTGTGACCACTGGTGACCATAGGTTCATAAAACAAACATGGCAACACCAGTGTTAGATGACCTGCCACAGTGTTTACCTCTACCGAATGGTAATAGTGGTCATCCACAAAGAATCTCGTCTGTCCTTCCTAAATTGTACTATCAGATTTATGTTCATTTCAAATTGACCATACTATATAAGTCATCATGATATGAACAGTTAGAGTCTGTGTGTAAGCTCTCTTGTTGGGGGCACGGGTGGCCCAGGTGTCTAAGACGCCACAATTTGGTGTGCAGATTTACGTCCTTTGGGCATGCCAGAAAGCTATGATTGTGGGTTTGAATCCGGGGTTTGCCCCAAAATGTTTCTAGGTTTGTCAGCTCCTGCCTGTGCCTGGTAAATGTCAAAGACCTGCATCACTTCGGGTCTTCCTCCCACATTACGCTGACACATCGTGATATAACTGGAATATTGTTAAAAGCGTCTAACACACTCACACAAACTCTCATGCTCTTCCCAGTAGGTGCTCCTGTTCTTATTCTAAGCCAGATTCATAACATAGTATCTCTATGTGCTGCTCCGTGGTAACATGATGATGTTATTTGCAGGTAGTCTAGACAACACTGTACGAGTGTGGGACATCAAGAAGGTCTACGAGGAGCTGGACTCTGACTCAGACGCTAACATTCCAAGCACATTGCATGTGTACGTCCCACTTCAATACCAATTTTTTGATACAGTATATATTTATACACACAACTTTCCAAACAGAGATTAATTTACTTGTCCTATTAGCAGTTTATTTTCCCAATAACATGTTGAAGTTGTAATAGATTATCTCATAAACTGTGACCCTTGTTGTCTGATAACTTTGATAAATGTTGATCGATTTGGACCTCCATAATTCCAATTTACCTGTTACCACAGCTCATTGTTAATGATGTGATCACCTTTTTGAGCAGGATATCCTCTATTGAGACCATTTAACTGTCATATACCTTTTTGTTGCTGTGCAGCCTTAGCCTTGAATGTGCCAATTTTGAATTAGAAGTTTTGGGATGGTAGGGTAGCCTTGGGATTAAAGTGTTCGTTTGTCTCCTCGGAAACCCTTGTGTACAATGTGTGAAGCCTCCTCGTGTTGTGACCTGCTGTGATATTGAGGGAATATTACTGAAAGCTGTTAATCTCTCACAAGTACTCACTCACTCACTCTCTCTCTCACTCTCTGTTTCAGCAATGACAGCCCAAGTCTACTTATAACTACCTACAAGACAAAGAGCACACCCGTGTTGACCCTCCACTTCACTCGACGCAACTTGCTGCTAGGCAGTGGGGCATTCTCCATCACTTGAACCTGGGCACACAAGGGTCTTCTGATGTCTCATGATGGAGGATTGTCTGATTGCTACTGTGATGGTCTGGTAAAATAGGGCTCCACAAGAGTCAACCCAAAGAATCAGTTGGTCAAACTCAGTGACTTGGTTGATTTCATGGATCATAACCGATAGCATGGATCATTGCTCACAATATGGATCAATGGATTGTCTGCTTCAGACTTGATTACATACAGGCTGCATCATATAGCTAGAAATATTGCTCACTGCAGCGTTAAACAACAGACAAATACTTTGATGGCTATTCGTTGAGCAGTCTTTGTCTTGGATCGGAATAAAAACCAAAGTAGATAGAAGGAGGAATCATCACAGGATCTGTCACCTGAACACAGCTGGAGATGCTGGTCATCTCTTGCATGGTCTCCGAGGTAGCCAAGTGGGTCAAGCGTTCACTCATTTAGCATTTAGCTAATGGTGTGGGTTCTATTCCCATAATAGGTAGAATGTGTGAAGCCAATATTGAAATTTCACTTACTAAGCTGATAGTGCTGGTTCTATTCCCATAATGGGTAGAATTTGTGAAGTCCATGTTGTTGCAAAAGGGGCACAACTTGAATGGATGCAATGTATGTGTTGTCACTCACTCTCACGCTGTTGACTCAAAAATAGAATCATCCCAGGCCCTGAGAAGGGGTGTAGAATGTATGGTCTGAAAGTCTGAATGGTTACGCATGGGAAGTGCTATTTCATGTAGATCGACTGAAAGAATGCAAGGACTGTTGTGTATGATGAACTATTTGATGCTGAAGTGTTGAGGATCTCCAGGCTGCACACTTCCAGGTACATTTTACAAGAAGGAACATTGAGGAACGTGTAGTGCTGCTTCACCAGCAACAGAGATTGTTTGTGGGTTGGAAAATTTCTGTGAAATTATTCAATCTACCTTGTGACCTGAGATCCTCCACTGTCATTTCAACTAAGCAGTCTTGGTGCTGAGATGATCGTATTTTAACATAGACTTACGGGGAAACATTGATCTTCGTAGCACGAAGATCATTTTGCGGAACAGTGCTCTAATATGTTTCAACATTTGTCACCTCGGTACCAAGCAATATTGTAATGCAGTAGGAAATCAACAGGACTTCCTTAAGTTCGCGATGATTGTGTGTATCTCCACATTATGGCCTGATGTAGAATGTCTGGGAGATATTGCCATACCCTCATTGTTCATGTGAAGTACATATATTGGTGAAACTGCCTATTGACATACGAATAAATATTTATATAAAATCTTGTTTTGTATCATTGATACCAGCATACATTTGTGGTTCATGGTAAGAAAAAATGTCCATTTTACAATTCTGGTCTAAAACCCGGATTACGTGGGAAGATCATGTGGACACTCCTGCACTGTCTGCTCCAGGGCCCATCGGTCCCCAACGAAGTCTGCGGGCAAATTATCAACATTCTACGGTAAAATGACCAAAATTCTGAGGCTAAAATGTCAAAACTCTACTGATAAATACATGACCATTTCCCCCTCAAAATACGAACTCACTTTTTGAAAAGTTGAATCCAAGTGCAAAATTCGATAGAAAAGCGATTATACCAATAATGAAAATTAGTGTATTGACTCATAAAAAGGGGCAAATTCCGCAATTTTTCTGCAATTCTGCGGTAACATTTGTGAAAATCTTTCTGAGATCGCAGTTTAATTGCTGTTGGCATCTTATAACATCTGTTATCTGATATTTTGAGAAAGTAAGAGTTGCTAAATGTGTAAAACCCCACACCTATGTCTAATAAAAGAGGCCATGGAGTGTTACCGGAAGGCTGGACTACCTAAAGTAACGTGTGACTTGAATATGTCACAGAGGAATGGTCTTTTAGCACTCGACACACAGTGTTATAACTACCACTAAAACACCTTGCTTGATTCAATGCAAATCTCTCAAAGCATTAACTTCTGGGTAGTAATCTCTTACATTAAAAAAGTACAGAAATAAATGTCTCCGCTTGCAGAAAGCAGTGCTTGGAATGATTGCTCGATGATTTTTACTCCCCAGCTTTAGTCTAACATTTAGTCCCAGAAAAAAAGTTTTCTAATTTAAATATATATATATACAAGATATAAAAAAAATCAAAATGAAGCCCAGAACAATCCTTCAATAATGTCAAGAGCTGAGGCAATCTGGACTTGCCAGATCATCATGATCACTCTAGACTTCAGTTGGATTCAAATTTAATTCATTCTCTCTGGTCTGGGAGGCGGAGCACACAGCTTGGACAGGAATGTTTGAAGGATGAACACAAAACTAGTATGGATGGCTGTGGCTGTAAGACTTCTTCTTTGTGACATCACTGAAGCTCAGGTGTCATGTTTGTGAGGCGACATTTTCTACTTGTTTGGAGGCCTGATGGGACATTGGTTCTTCAGCCTGTCCTGCCCATAGAGCTTACACTAGTACAATTGAAGTACTGTTCAAAGAAGCGTGGGAACCGGTGATCCAGTTGACTATGACACTGCAGTTTGCTTTGCAGAGTTGCGTCTGTTAGGAGCGACATGGCACCTTTCATCCTGGGTTCAAGTCCTAGATTCGCCTTATGATAATTGATGTTGAAATGTAACAGACATTAAAGATTATTGAGATTTTTTATTTCGAAAACAAGAAAGTTACAAATGATCTGAGAGGCAATATATACAATAAATAATGGTTATAATACTGCAGTGATTGTTTGTAGCATCTGTAGTGAGGTGGCTGATATGCCCACATCGTGCATAGAGACAGCACGCAGAGGGACTATCACAGACCGGCTCTCCTCATTAGGAAGAACCCAGTACATAGCCCATGTTTTGTTTCAGCTAATCCCTTCTTTGTCTTGAGGTCTTACTCTCTATTGGAGGGAGAACTACCTTGGACCTGAGTCGTCTTCTACTCTGTTTTATCTCAACCCCAGTTGCAGCCATTGCCCAGACAGGTTCACCGTTGGAAATGCCTGACCCTGTGGAAATCACTGGAAGTGTGATGGGTGTAGGTTTCTTAACCGTTTTCAAGGTCTTATGGTTCTTTGTCGGAGGTTCAGCAGAGGGAATGATTATGGGTGTATTCTTCGACTTGACCACCATCTCCTTCCTAAGATGTTTGATGTCTGGAGACACCGCCTTCTGTTGCCTGCCAACTCTCTTGGGAACTAACTGAAGCTTTCTCAGCTCTTCCTCTTTCTTCCTCTCTAGTTCTACGGTTTGCCTCTGTTCCCCCAGCTCTCTCTTCAGGCGAGCCTGATACCCACTCAGGTATTTTGTTGCCTTATGTGCCTGGGACACAAGTGGACGGTCTTCCGTTAGATCAGCTGGCAAGTCCCTGAACCAGCCCAGCCTGTTGCATTCCCCTTCTCTAGGGTGTCCACCAATCTTGCTCTTTCTCTTTGTTTCCTGGCGGTGTGTCAGAATTTTGTCCCGACTGGTCTTACTGAGTTGGTAGTATTCTATTGGCAGTCTCTCCAACACACTGCAAGGAAGACTAGCTGTAGTATGTCATGCTGTGTACACTAACCGTTTCTTAATCAATTACCACAAAATGAACCATTATCGAAGAGAAATGAAAACTGTAATTCAGTTTAAATTAGTTACACCTGTGAATAAATTATTACAGATATAATGATAACATACACATTTATCAGCTACACTTGTGCAAATATTTTGTTATAGGGTACACATTAAGGAGGTCACCATCCAGAGACAATCTGTATATACCTGACTTTGTTGTCTTTTGTTTCAGAATTAAATTCTTGGAACTGATCATCTGAAAGGAAGAATGGATAAGGATAGAGTATACGATTTTATATGTTTATACCACAAGGAAATATCTTGCCTCAGTCAAGTTTAAAGTATTCCTTACTACGCACATTCCATTTGGTTTATTACTTATTGTAATCCAAGAACTTCCATTGGACAGTGTGTACATATTTTAATCTATTTCACTATACAAGCATTTCTAAACGACTAAACATTACATTTTTATTATTGAAATGTGTTTACCCTCTCTCAACTTACACTGTCTCCGTCTCGGGGGCAAGCGGTCACGTGGCCATTTCTGTCCACGGACGTCTTGTTCGAGGAAATCAGATCCCCGATCTGTTGGCTGGTCCGTTCTCCGTGACATTCTGGTTACTGTGAAGATGATTCATTGTTTATATCATACAGGAAATTAAGCTTACTCTTGAAATGTTCTGGATCACGATTATGATTCTGCGATATTTATTTAGATTTAATGTCAGTATTAATTTGATGGTAATTATTGGCGTTATTTGTGTACACTGCAAGTGCAGTTGTAAAATTATCTTTGAAGGAGCACATACCTTGAGATATCTTGACAATGAAAGCTTTACTTTAAACCGTTGATGACGCTCTGAATGCAACAATAAAAGCTTTACTTTAAATCGTTGATGACGCTCTGAATACAACAATGAAAGCTTTACTTTAAATCGTTGATGACGCTCTGAATGCCAGTATACAACAGCGCACGACGACGTCTTGCTATCGACTGGTGCAAAACTCTAGGGTGTCGTGATGGTCCATTCTATGACGTCATTGACATTGTTCTTGTCTGTGACGTCATGCACTCCGTTCCAGTGCGCATCACTCGGGTCAACTCGGGATTTTCCGCTATCTACAAAGGGGCCTGAGGCGAGCCGAGCGTGTGCGCCTAAGCTGATATCAAGTCATACTTCGTTATGGCGATCCATGAAGACCCTGTTAGAATAGGTCTTCAGCAGCCGACGCTTGCCGTAAAAGGCGACTATTCATGTCGTAAGAGGCTAATACTGGGATCTGGTGGCCGGCTAACTTGGTTGAAGAATCGTATGCCAATTACGAAGATCGATGCTCATGATGTCAATCACTGGATTGCCTGGTAAGGCGCGATTATTTAAACAACAAACAAATAAAACACACCTTCATTGTGGCTTCCCCAAACCCGTACATTGTATCAATACCCTCGTTTTTTAAATATTGTTATGCTAAAATATGTTTTCTTTTAAATATAACTTTGTATTTATGACATGCTTGTAGATATAACAACTTGTTTCGTTCACTATATATATGACTGAAATAATGTCGATACGACGTTAAATTTGGGATTTTGTATCGATACTAGATGTCTTTTACAGCTTCAAATGCAAAACCAGAAAAACACAGTCCTATACCCCGACGGCCCGGCACGTAGCTCATAATATTAAACACGGTTTTGCCTGACCCAGACTCGAATGTTTACTGGCCCCTGTGATACAGCGTGAAAATTGCTGACTGTGGCATAAATAAAACAACACCCAAATAATCATGGGTATAATCAATGATGCCGTTCCAACAGTGAGTACAACAGTCATACGTTTTATGACCCCTGTAACCTACGATACAGGCCTCGTGGGATATCTAGGTAATTAAAATATATTTGTATTTGTGTACATTTACAAAATCATGTAGTTAGGGCGAGCGGTCGGAATAAAAAAATATTGTTGTTGTAAAAATACATCTGAAAAGGTGTCTGTTATATATCAAGACAGGGGCGGTGGGGTAGCCCAGTTGTTAAAGAGTTCGCTCGTCACGCCGAAGACCCGGGTTACCCACATGGGTTCAATGTATGAAGCCCGATTCTGATGTTCCCCGCCGTGATATTGCTAAAGTATTGCTAAAAGCGGCGTAGAACCATACTCACTCACTCACTCACTCACTCACTATACTACAGACGTGTAAGACTGGTTCACAATCTGAATATTGACCTCCAGGGCTATACTTTGTGTACATGTTTCGAAAGTACTTGTGCGACACGGCAACGTGATTGTGTTATATTCTTCGTCCATTCCATTTAAAACTATGTCAAAATACTCTTCTTTATATGCAAAGTACTTTTTCTCCTTTCAGGAGTTCATGGGCGCATAACTTCATAGTGACAAAAACATATTTTTATTTGTTGTAAAAGGCCCGTCTGAAGATGAGATAAACATAGAATAATCCCGACGACACAACGTGTGGCTGTGGTATATTAGGCATATCACCGCCCCGAAACCCGTGAAGATCCGCGGTAGATAGGTCTTCAGCAATGATATCGATGCTCATGATATCAATCACTGGATTGTCTGGTCCAGACTCGATTATTTACAGACCGCCGTCATATAGCTGGAATGTTAGTGAGTGCGGCGTTAAACAGCAAACCAACCAACCAAAGGACGCCGTGAAAAAATCTATAAAATATTATTCATTCACTATACAACGCCTCGAAGTGTAATGTATGTTTTCTACACCACATGGTAATGCTGGTACAGGTCATCTGGTTCGCCAATTCTGATGTTAGTAGTAGGTGCATGTCTGTTTCCTGGGGATCAAGTGAGGAAACATACACTGAAGCTGTGGGGATCAAGGTACCAACAGCACAGGAGGCTTAGCACTTACACAAGCGTTTCTCACATTCAGATCTACTCCATATTGCACGGTAGGTCCCCGCCGATATTTTGCAACACTTTGCTGAAGTGTCTGACACGGTCTTCACATTCCCGCCATGTTTGGGAAGGACTCCAGATATTGCCACAACCCTTACTTTGCAGAGGTTATACAGACCGGACAGAGTGAAAAAAGTATACTATTTGCACCTGCAGGAATGAGCGAGATGAGAAGGACGACTAAAGACATGAAAGGTGATACGAATTCTGGAGACGCACCACGATCATCTCTCCGCCTGCGCTTGATCACTCCTAGATGACACTCGATCTTCATTGACGTGCAGGAATTGTAACAATTTCCCTTCATTTACACGAGATCGGGGACTACTGTTTATCTCAGATAGATCTAGAACAGGTAAATTACCTTCAGAGGTTTGTCAAGAGTTAACCCCATTAATCCCAAATCACCGGATAATCAAATTTCCGGATTAATGAATATCCATGCACATGGTTCTCTGTATCGATATTTCTCGTTTAAATTGAAAGGATATTTGATAAGAATTGTTTGTTTGTTGTTTAACGCCGCACTCAGCAATATTCTAGCTACATGACGGGGGTCTGTAAATAATCGAGTATGGACCCGCCAATCAGTCGCCACTTACGACAAGCATACTCGCCTGTCAAGCATGGGTTGCTGAAGACTTCATGTATTCTACCCCGGGTCTTCACGGGTCTTGATAAGAAATGTACAGAATAGTATATATACAAGGTGAACGTGTTCAAATACATCACATGTATCACTAAATACGTCATCTATATTACATAAATATAGTGCTTAAATCCCACGGTACATTAAAACAATGTGAAAACTTAAAGTATAGCATTCCTTGTAGAACCCTACAAAAGCCTCGGATAACTCAATACTATTGATGTTATTTACGTATTAGCAATAGTTTATTTATTTTCTTTGTTTGTTGTTTAACGCCGCATTCAGCAATATTCCAGCTACATGTTTGTAAATAATCAAATCTGGAACAGACATTCCAGTGATTGACATAATGAGCATCGATCCATGCAACTGGGATACGATGATATGCATCAACTAAGTCAGCGAGAATGACCACCTGATTCCGTTTGTCGCCTCTTACGAGAAGCATGGGTTGCTGAGGCACAGAACAGCGCGACCTTTGATCTCTGTACTCAGGATAACGAAATTTAGAAAAATAATATTATAAATAATATTATTTTATTTTAGGAAGTATAAACAAGGACTCCTTTGACGAGACAAAATCCGGCGATATCAAGAAGACACACACCTTCCTGTAAGGGCAGGTTTTTGTGCTCCGTCAGCTAAGTTGCCAGCCGCCAAACGTTTGGCAGAACAATGTGAGTCCCAGCAAGAGAACGACATTTTCGAATTTTGTTTTGACTTGAAAGTTTCAATGACATGAGAAGTACTTTACAGTTCCATGTCGACTTAGCCCAGTGAGTGCTGCAGGAATGTCATTGAGGTGGCGCCTCACAATCATCTGCGGTAAGACAAAGGGCCCCGACATGTAGCTACAGGATGCGCGTTATGTGTTCCGGTGGATGTAGTCACATGCAGTCCCCGCCATCCGTCACCCCGGGTCATGTTCGGATCGACAGACATACGTACGTTGACTGTGATCAATGTTTGCACTTGTCTTTGAAATTATAAATATTAATGTTTATCATTTAACTTAAGCATTTATCCATGACATAAGCTTATGACATAAAAACATGTATGTCATACCCCAATGACATAAGTATGCAAATTAGATATGCAAATTAGATAACCGGAAGAGCGAGCGGTTTGATTTGAAACTATATATTATAAGTGAAGTTACAACAGAGATATAATCAGATTACACAGAATCGTTGTTGTTACCGTTATTAAAGTTTCAATTATTCTGCAAAAGTCTGTTCAAGTATTTTGTTTAAAATAATCCGAGGAACTTTTTTTCTCAGCGAATTGTTTATTTTGGTTTACATGGCTATGGAAAACATGTATCACTACGCACGATCTATACGTAAGATTTCGACAAGTTGCTGATGTTAATGTTTAATGCAATTATTCCTTAATTTGGAAGCAAAAATGTGAAAATGATAAATAGAATTCATCACTCGTGTTTTTTAATATGGGAAATATCAACCTCGTCCCGTTAATCGGTATTTGCCTCGCCAAAGGCTCGGCAAATACCGATTAACTAAGACTCGGTTGATATTTCCCATATTAAAAAACACTCGTGATGAATCCTCTATATATTATATAGTATTGGTTACCATGACGTCACAATCAAATGACATCACTATCTACAAACTGAAAAAGTTGGAAGAATGATGTTGGATGATAAATAAAATCTCACCCTCGTGTCTTTTGATATGAAATATATCAACACTTGTTGATAAAAGTGGAAAAAATCCTCGGCAAGCCTCGGAGTTTTCCCACTTTTTTCAACTAGTGTTGTTATATTTGATATCAAAAGACACGAGGGTGAGATTATATATAGATTATATATATATGTTAAGTGTGTGTGTGTGTGTGTGTGTGTGAGTGTGTGTGTGTGTGTGTGTGAGTGAGTGAGTGAGTGAGTGAGTGAGTGAGTGAGTGAGTGAGTGTGTGTGTGTGTGTGTGTGTGTGTGTGTGTGTGTGTGTGTGTGTGTGTGTGTGTGTGTGTGTGTGTGTGTGTGTGTGAGTGAGTGAGTGAGTGAGTGAGTGTGTGTGTGTGTGTGTGTGTGTGTGTGTGTGTGTGTGAGTGTGTGTGTGTGTGTGTGTGTGTGTGTGTGGAGAAGTCTTATTTATCTTCTCCCTCAGGATAAAGTTGAAACATGTAGGAGAACAATCCATGTTGTGTAATTATTTTGTGAATTTCGTTTTATATGTAGCTATGTGCTACTGTACATATATATGTTAGAATAGTTGAGGGTTGAAGGGACAACTAACTTCTATATATCTGCAGGATTTAAATTCATAACATGCTTAATATAACTCGGAAATCCCTTTAATACGTTCGGCTTGCAAGAAAAACAGTGACAGCACACATGCGCTGTAAGATCAATTTGGTGCTTTCGTCAGTAGTTCAAACAGAACTGCGCCATCAAATTTACTAACACGTTTACAAATGTCTCACAAACTCCAACTCACACTTATTCTTTTTTGCGGATATGAAATATCTCTTTTATCTTAACAAAACCGATTTGTTGTTTTTCAAAGGGAGCTAATATCCACAAGTTCTGGTTAATGGGAAGGGGAATTTGCCGTTGTGTGTTTTGTTTGTTTGTTTGTTGTTTAACGCCGCACGCAGCAATATTCCAGCTATATGACGGCGGTCTGTAAATAATCGAGTCTGGACCAGACAATCCAGTGATTCCGCCGTGAGTGCGATCAAGACAATCACCAAACAACGCAATATAGGCGCCATGTTTAGCCCATAATATCTTATTTAAGGATTGAGCAAAACCTTAGAAGTATTCATGAATGAGAACTAGAATTTGTTCCTTCCAACGTTCATGTTTGGGAGTTAGTACAACACTAAATATATGGGTGGGTATAACATGTGTCAGGGGCTGATTGTTAAGGTTCTCATGAAGCGTTTCTAATATTTCAACAAGAGCAAACATCTTTTCATCGAAGTACATAAAACATTACAAACATATGGTAAAAAACATCTCGGGTCTCGGACCTGTTCCTAATTAGATTTCCAATGGAAGTTCTGAAAATCTGCCTTTTTCGCATATATTAGGAACATTTGTGCATTTCAACAGGATTAACGCGGTTGTACTCTAAAGAACCATTCTGCGTCGGGTTTAATAAATTAGCACGATGGATCCGTAACAATTATCACAATCTCGTTGGTGGAACTTCCGCATTTGCCAACATCCGCAAAGTTCATCCTAAACGAGATCATCGCTATTTCTACCTGTGCTGTTAAAATATATCCTGTCGCATGTTTGACAGCATCCTCATCGTGTTAATTCTCTTGGTTAGCATGGTTCAATCAAATACAAAAATCTGAACGGGAAGCCTTCGAAAGATCGTCCGTGTTTACACTGCTTCGAGGCTCAGCGAATATTTTCTCCCCCTAACCTTTAATTGATCTGAGTCAACACAATCCGGTTGCATCCAAACATACGTTCACGTGTCTACAAATTTCAATGGTGATTCGATGTGGGCTTAGAACTTGAGATGTTTGCACCACACAGGGGCTTGTGTCGTACTGTTACTCACGTTGCCAGTGATGTGTACACAATCGTCGTCAGTGGACGATACAAAATATGTTAACGAGAATTGGGATCAGTTGTAGGCGACACGAAGCTGAATGGTGTGGGTCTCTCGCAACCTGCTCGACACAGGCGAAGACGATTAATCACTGAGAACCATTTAGCACAGCATAAATCTCATAATGGCTCTTTCAATGTGCAGGGTGTTTCAGCTGCAAGTGGTTCTGTGCTTGAAGTTCATTATTCATGGCAGTTGTGAGAATCAAGAACTTTGCACGGAGACTTTTCGTCAAGACAAGGCCGATCTTGATCCGTACCGTTTCCAAGGTTACTGGTTCGCCACGCACTTTTTCTGGAGTGGCTTGCGGTGGGTGCACGTGTTTGACGTGCAATCCATGTATATATACACCCCTGGCACGCCCAGCACGTGGACAGTGGCAGTAGGTGAGTGTGACCGTGTGTATCATATTCTCACTGATAAAAGTGACTTATTGGTGTAAGTGGTTGGTTGGTTTGTTGTTTTAGGCCGCACTCAGCAATATTCCAGCTATATGACGGCGGTCTGTAAATAATCGAGTCTGGACCAGACAATCCAGTGATTGACATCATGACCATCGATCCACGCAATTGGGATCGATGACATGCTTCAACCAAGTCAGCGAGACTGACCACCCGATCCCGTTAGTCGCCTTTTACGACAAGCATTGTCGCCTTTTACGACAAGCATGGGTTGCTGAAGATCTATTCTACCCCGGATCTTCACGGGTCTGGTGTAAGTGAATATATTAGTTATATCACGGCGTGTCAGCTTCATGTTTCGGGTAAGACTAAATATTTACCATTTGATCCAGAGACATTTTTGGTATTTACTTGTACAGTAAACTACGGTTATAACGAACTCAAAGGGACCACTAATTTTAGTTCGTTATAACCGTAGTTCGTTATAAGCATATTCAGCATATGTACAGCAAATGGTCGGGACAAAAAACATATGTTCCTGATATCCGTTAGTTCCTTATTAGCGCGTTCGTTATTAACGTAGTTTCCTGTTTATCATAAGGAATAAAGGCCGACTTGAACCTTAATCCATACTTGTTCAACCGTGGGGATTCCAGGGTACACTAGTACCCCATGCTTGTCATAAGATGGGTGACCCCCTCCGTGGTGTAGCGTATGGAGCGTTTCCCGCAGAGCGGAAGATGGGTGGTTGGATCTACTGGTAGCGTCATACCAAAAGACGTTAAAAGATGGTACTTTTTGTTACCCTGCCTGGCGCTCGGCATTATGGGGATAAAATAAGGACTAGTCGGCTCGGAGTCTATACACTGCCTCTAAGTGGGGTATTCATGTTAAACTGCGGAATGGTATCTCAGTGGGTTGACACTGTAAAACCGGCATAAGACTAGTACAAGCAACCAAACACGCTTGTGATAGGGGTAGCCAAGCGTTCATTTGCCATGCCATAGAACCCACATGGGTTCAGTATGTGGGGCCCATTCTTTGGCCGTGATCTTATTGGAATATTTCTAGAAGCAGCTTAAAATTACATGCTACTAACTCACACCCCGAGAGTCTGTTTCTTCTGTATATGACGTTAGTATGCTGCATGTTGTATATCGCCTACAGAAGGTTTGCTAGGTGTCTACGTAAGGGGGCGGTGGGGTGGCCTAGTGGTTCAAGCGTTCATGAATCGCGCTGAAGACCCGGGTTCGATTCCCAACATGGGTATAATGTGTGAAGCCAATATCTGATGTCCCCGCCATGACATTGCTGGAATATTGTTAACAGCGGCGAAAAACCATACACACGCACTCATTCTACGTAAGTTGTTCACACTGCTAAGCATACAACGTGTTTCTACGCAAGGCGCATACCAATGTTAATTCAGATGTACGATTATCAGATTTGGGGCCATACATCCTCAATTCTAGTTGGCTTGGGCAAGACGGTTGCTTACTAATGCTATGACCAAATACAAATATTGATAACAATGGATTCGAAATACGATGTCGTAAATACAAAAAACAAATTATCACTTCATTAGCTCAAAATAAGGTGACCAATGTAAAAGGTCAACCCCAGAATAACCAGTCTCGGTTATCAGATTCCATTGGGCGTAAAAGGCAAAGTGGCGGTGACAACTGTAGCAATGGATCACTGCAAATCCGTCATGACAAATGATGTCCGACACAATTCCCTAATTTGACTTCCCGTGTTTTTTCAGGTGAACATTTGACTTGCATTTGCATGTGTTTGTGACGGATGCTAAAGGTGGGGCTGGATACGCTTATCTATTTATTTAACAGTGATTCATAAACACATGCGTATGATATACCGGGAATCGTAGGATGGAATCTGCTAAAGGCAGAGATTTTAGATAGTTATTTTGTAATTGAATATTTCGTGGAAACCCATTTCTCTATCCAGCTTACTGTATGCCTGTGTATGCCATTGAAGTTATTGACATGTGTGAAACTGAGACGTAAATATTACACAGTTTTGAAACTGTGACGTAAATATTACACAGTGTGAAACTTGGACGTAATGATTCCAGTGTGAAACTGAGACGTAAGTATTACACTGTGTGAAACTGAGACGTAATTATCACACAGTGTGAAACTGAGACGTAATTATTCCAGTGTGTGAAACTGAGACGTTATTATTCCAGTGTGTGAAACTGAGACGTAATTATTCCAGTGTGTGAAACTGAGACGTAAGTATTACACTGTGTGAAACTGAGACGTAATTATTCCAGTGTGTGAAACTGAGACGTAATTATTCCAGTGTGTGAAACCGAGACGTAATTATTCAACAGTGTGAAACTGAGACGTAAGTATTACACAGTGTGAAACAGACGTAATTATTCCACAGTGTGAAACTGAGACGTTATTACTGCAGTGTGTGAAACTAAGACAAGTATTACACTGTGTGAAACTGAGACGTAATTATCACACAGTGTGAAACTGAGACGTAATTATTCAACAGTGTGAAACGGAAACGTTATTATTCCACAGTATGAAACCGAGACGTAATTATCACACAGTGTGAAACTGAGACGTTATTATCACACAGTGTTAAACTGAGACGTAATTATCACACAGTGTGAAACTGAGACGCAATTATTCCACAGTGTGAAATTGAGACGTAACTATTACAGTGTGTGAAACTGAGACGCAATTATCATAAAGTGTGAAACTGAGACGTAATTATTCCACAGTGTGAAACCGAGACGTAATTATCACATAGTGTGAAACTGAGACGTAATTATCACACAGTGTTAAACTGAGACGTAATTATCACACAGTGTGAAACTGAGACGTAATTATCACAAAGTGTGAAACTGAGACGCAATTATTCCACAGTGTGAAACTGAGACGTAACTATTACAGTGTGTGAAACTGAGACGCAATTATCATGCAGTGTGAAACTGAGACGTAATTATTCCACAGTGTGAAACTGAGACGTAATTATTACACTGCGTGAAACACAGACATTGTTTGTGTACTTAGGATAATCAATAACTTAGATTGGCGGGATAAAATAGGCCTTCAGCAACCCATGCTTGCCGTAAAAGGCGACTAACGGGATCGGGTGGCCAGGCTCGTTGACTTGGATGATGCATGTCACCATATCCTAATTGCGTAGATCGATGCCCCTAATATTAATCACTGGATTGTCTGGTCCAGACTCGATGATTTAAAGACCGCTGTCATATAGCGTGGATATTGCTGAGTGCGGCAACAAACAAAAAACAAACATATCAACGAAACTATCCTAGATTAAATACATGATACTTAAACTCTTAGAAAAAATGGAGTTGGAGGGACTTGAACCATGTTTACAGAGACTGCCACATAGACAGAACTAAGCAGCTCTTTAAGAATGGAGAGGGGTGTTCTTCCAAATATGTCAGGTCAGGGAAAGAGGGGGAAAAAGACAAATATATGTTCGCCGAGAGCTATCGTGACATGATGTAAAACATCACTCACTCACTGTTTCAGGTGTTCACAGAAACGAAGATCAGTGCATCCGCCGACTCTTCAACATAAGCGTTCCTTCAACCGGAAGTAACGTGTTCCGCGATGCCGGGTACTATCACCATGTGATCGACACCGACTACATGAACTACGCCGTTGTGCTGTTCTGCTACAACGTCAGGAAGGGCGGGAGGTGCGACTTCTCCAACATACAGACGGTCATACTGAGTCGGACACCGGACGGCCTTGAGGAACAGGATGTCTGGACAGCGGTCAAGGAGAAGGTCCGATTATGCACGGACCCCACGAGACTCAAGGTCATTAAACAGCGCAAAAGGTGTGTGTGTTCTTTGGAAGACTTTGAAGACGGGACTGGACCGGTGTGCGAATAAATATCTCGTGCCAGTTGTTTTTAAACATATGTTTGTATATACGTGTATATATGTATAAATATGTAAATATGTTTGTACATTCATAATAAAATGAAACAAGTTATGAAAATGTATGTAGTTATGTATTTCTGTCCTCTTGACACTGAACGCGAAATAATGTAATACCCCGGTGGGAAGTCCGGTTTAGATTTGGTCCCCAGCGAAATATGCTGATCGTAAGAGGCGAATTTACGTATCGGGTGGTCAGGCTTGGTGACTTGCATAGTATTGTACCCCTACGACCTTGGTTGGTTGGTTTGTTGTTTAACGCCGCACTCAGCAATATTCCAGCTATATGACGGCGGTCTGTAAATAATCGAGTCTGGACCTGGCAATCCAGTGATTAATATCATGAGCATCGATCCACGCAATTGGGATCGATGACATGCATCAACCGAGTCAGCGAGCTTGACCACCCGATCCCGTTAGCCGCCTCTTACGACAAGCACTGTCGCCTTTTACGGCAAGCATGGCTTGCTGAAGACCTATTCTACCCCGGATCTACACGGGTCCCCTACGACGTGGATCATTGCCTGTAATATCAATCATTGAATTATATACAGGCTGCCGCTATATTGCTGGAACATTGCTGAGTGCGGCTTCAGCAACTCACACACACTGATATAGACCCATAACTTGATAATTAATACTTAAAGAAACAGTCAGGCACGGTTTGCGCCCCTTTGTCTTTCCAGGATCTGCTGCCCGTTGGTTCTAATTATCCCTGATTAAGTTTGAGACATGCGTCACGTCTTGATGTTCATGAAGCGGAAGGCTGTACACTATCTGAACAATGACAACCCTACCGTTGCCTGTTACTAAAGCTGTGTGTGAAGTCAACACCCACAAGGCTGAAAACAACCCATGCTTGTCGTCAGAGGCGACTAACGGGATCGGGTTGTCAGGCTCGCTGACTTGGTTGATGCATGTCGTCGTATCCCAAATTGGTAGATCGATGCTCATAATGTTTATCACTGGCTTGTCTGGTCCAGATTTTATTATTTGCAGACCGCCGTCATATAGCTGGAATGTTGCAGAATGCGGCGTTAAACAACAAACAACCAAAAACAAAACCATGCTGAAGCAGGTGTTGCACGAGAAATACTGCCGTTTGAGCGCTCATTGGTCAGAGCACTCGATAGTTTCCTACTCCCTGTAACCAGGCCGTGGTTTGATTCGTTGGTTGAAAATAGTGACAACACCGTCAGGTGGCGTGTGTCTTCACTCAGGGGCGGGTCCTCCGGTCCTTGTTTTCGCATATTGACCTCGTCAAGAGTAATTATTTGTATAATACTTACGGTTCTTACGGATATTATGTGACGTGGGAACTACGTGGAATATGAATATTTATATACAATCAATATCATATGACTACGCGTAACCCGTTACTAATAGAGTCATGGAGGTAACGTGTATGTGTGATTGATGAATACGAAGAGATCCTGAATGCTTGTAGATATGGTTACAGCACCTGGGATGTATTAGTTACAAACTATGCATGATCCTGTTGGAGATAGGATATAAAACTGACATTTTCATCCTGATTGTGATAAATTGGACAGTTATAATGAATAAAAGCGCCAAAACCATTTCCGTAACCATAAGATTGTACGATTTCCTCCTCATGTCTGTCATAAACATTTTGAAGCTTTACCGAGGCCTTGAATGTTGTAACCTTGATCCAACAACTTTTGAGCACGAATCGTGCTTTCTGAGTACTTGCGCTTTTGTTTGTGACTTTGAGAGCAGACCTCCCATGAATATTATATAGCTTCTCCTTCAGATCTTTGTAATTACACCACCGAAATATATAAACTACCCATGTTTATTTCATGATCGTCTGTCCGAATCATCGTTGCGTTTTGAGTCTGACAGACCAGTAACTGGCCTTCTGAGTTGAAATCTCAAACTCAGACAAATATTTAGAAATATCCTTATTTTGTATACTCAAGATTTATTCACGACATTGGCAATGGAGATGTTTGTCTTCTGTATGGAAACCCGCCAAAGTAACCCTACAAAGATTACACCTTATCCACAACGAACCTGAAATCCTCCGTCAAACGGATCTATCTTTCTGTGGCGCACGTTGACAATGCAACGTGGTCGAAAAGAATCGAATACTATGTATACATACAAACCCGACATACTCTGACAGAATAGACTCATGTGTTTGCAGGAAGACTAGTATATTGTCTCTCTGTGGTGGATAGGAAGTAGAGTAATGAACGTTTATATCGAACTGACGGATGTTTTAGTCCCGGACATCAGCTCTATATATGCTGAATATATGACTAAAACGAAGTACGGTGATAACAGACTAAAATTCCCTTTGATTTCGTTATAACCGTAGGTTGCTGTACTGCGAAAGATCACTAAGAGTTATACAAAGGGAAGTGTGTGTGTGTGTGTGTGTGTGTAACATAGATATATCTGATGTAATTTATGATTTCATCTAGAAACAAGGGCATGGGTTCTAGGTACGAATAGCGGAATGTTGCGGGTATTCAGTGATCGATGTATTCATTTAATGCATGACGGTACCATAAATGATATGGAATACAAAAGTATCAAATAAGCATTGACAAACCAGTTTACTAGTACTGAACTGGATCTATATGCTACTGTTTTAAGTTTGAGGACCGAAGGATGCCGCGATGTGTTTGCAATGAAAGCGAGTGAGTGAATATTGTCCTGGCATTAGTCAGTAGTGTTTCAGATCGAGGTTAGACCAGAAATGCTAACAACGTTTGCAACGATTTTCGCCAAATTGATACGATGACACACGATGAGGTCACACATTTCTGTCGTATCTCACGACAATCATGACGTACTGGTGACCTTGATTATCTGCTGTGTAAACATCAGTGAAGATGTGCTGACTCTGCAACTGTCTCATTAAAATGAAAGCAATCCCAGAATCTAGAAATAATAATAATATCCGAGGTATATTTGTTTCCTCATCCTTGGTGTGTTCCGAATGCATGAAATCTTTGGAAGCATTTTAACAATTTGAAACAATGTTTCAAATCTGTTTTTGTTTGCTTGTTTGTCAATTAAACATAAATATAAACAGTCAAGCTTTCAGCCTCTCGAAGTCAGTTACACAATGGTTGAAAAAAGTTCTCGAATGATGTAGAACGACCCCAACAGAGTGTGCCTGCTGAAGGCCGAGGGCCCGAAAGCTTGAGGGGGTGTATTTTGATGTATGTATTTGATTTCCCTATGGGAATAAACACAAAAGAAGAATGTCTATTTAAGTTGTTTTTTTAATACCTTATTTACATGATTTTATAATATACTGCTCCACTCTACTGTCTCATTTGCTCGCGTTCTGCCACGCATTTCACTCATGTTTTCTCCTCAGTTCTGTCTATGATGGACAGCCTCCGTGGTCTAGTGGTAGAGCGTCCGCCCGGAGAGCGGAAGGTCCGGGGCTCGATCCCCGACCGCGTCATACCAAAAGACGTTAAAAGATGGTACTTGTTGTTACCCTGTCTGGCGCTCGGCATTAAGGGGCTAAAACAAGGACTGGTCGGCTCGGAGTCAGTATACTGTGTCTGAGTGGGGTATTCATGTTAAACTGTGGCATGGTATCTCAGTGAGCTAGCACTACAAATCGGCATCAGTCCGGACTAGTACAAGCAGCCACACACACACACACACACGTGCATGCACGTCGCTATATAAGTGCAATAATCTTGGACGCGACGTTAAACCCCATTTCACCTCACCTCACCTGTCTACGATGGCAATTGGTCAGCTGGCTAAAGCACCATGCCGTATCCCCTTCTACCCCAGCAACACGGCAATAGAAATGGTCGAAATAAAATCCAAATGTAATCAATGCTTAAACAAACCAGGTATTTCTAGGCTTAAAGAAATATGCACAGTTTCGTCATATGAAATGACACATATGAAAACCTCCTGGGCGCATATTTGTCAAATTGTGTTGTGAACCGGTGACATTTTTACCCGTAGAAAACCTTCGATTATATGTATCTCTCTGTTCTATCAATGCATTGTGACGCAAATGACACTATGTTAAATGCACGGGAGTCAGATCCTAGCAATGGTAACCTGCTCCTCGGTATTCCCTGTGATTCATGTACAGCCAACAAACGCTGGGAATGACGGCGTCTCAAGGTATTATCGGAAATCAATTCCCTGCAATACCGAAGCTGCTGTTGTTTTCCATTGTCCGTAATACACAACGAATGTTTGATCAACAAACACTGGTTCGACCCTGATCCAGGCCACGATCGCTCCTGTTTGACCTGAATGTTTGTCTTGGCCAGGGAAATACACTTTGCTGATTTCTTTGATCAGTAAGTTAAGCCAACCTTCGCAGTGCATATCCTAATTAAGATGACCTTTCTGTGTACATTTTTACGTTATGGTGCTGCCGTAACCAGCAATTCAACTTGAGTGAGTGAGTGAGTGAGTATGTTTTTACGCCGCTTTTAGCAATATTCCAGCAATATCACGGCGGGGGACACCAGAAATGGGCTTCACACATTGTACCCATGACGGGAACCGAACCCGGGTCTTCGGCATGACGAGCGAACGCTTTTACCACTAGGCTACCCGACCGCCCCCAATTCAACTTGAAACAAAATGGACAGACGTTTTGTCAATGTACTACTCTGACATTATAAGAGCCGTCTTGAAAAGAAGCACCAATCATAAGAAGACATGTTGATTTCAACATATGCTGGTGCATCATCCCATTCATTTCCTGTTACACTTTTCTCTTGAGTGAGTGAGTGAGTGAGTGAGTGAGTGAGTTGGGTTTAACGCCGCTTTTAACAGTGTTCCAGTTATTTCGCGGCGTGTCAGCTTAATATGGGAGGAAAGCCCGAAGTGACGCAGGTTTCAGACGTTTACCACTTCGGTGAAACCCACGAGCACGGGTATGGTGCTGACAAACCTAGAAACATAATTGGGGCGAACCGGGATTCGAACCCATTTTCTTTTGAGACTCCGATGACGAATGTAAAATACATCAGATCTACCCTGAGTGAGTGAGTGAGT